TGACTGCTGCCAACCGTGAAAATTGGAAATTCACCAAGTTGATACGGGGCCCCTTGGCAACAAGGATCCCTGGGAGATTGGGATCGCTTTTAGGAACACGCTGTATCTACGCACTCCCCTTTTTCGGGAGGACTGCTGCCAACCGTGAAATCGAGACTTCACCTTTTTCATAGTGGCCTCCATGGAAACCGGGATCCCTACTGGAATGAATTTAGCTACAACGGCCACCAACTACAATGGTCGCGACACCCGGATACGGCGCTCCGCCGAACACTGGGCCCGGGTGCCGCGGACCATACGTCTTCACCGCCTACTCCTTTCCTACTATCCACATCCCTTCTACAATAGACAATAACGCTTTCCACCTCCAAAAAATACCCCCCCTCCCCTCTGATATTCTCGGATAATCTCCGCNCCTGAAATTAAATCGCGCGCCTCTCTTGGCAGCAGGCATCCAAGAATCTTCTAGATCAGTTTCCGGAACACGCTGTATCATCGCCTCCTCATTCGAACAGTGCTGACTGATGCCAACCGTGCAATTCGCGAATTCCCCAATCCCAAAATGCTGCCCCCATTCGAACGAAGCATCGATGAGCCGTGCAGGTCGGTTATTTGGAACACCCTGTATCCGCGCTTTGCGCCTTCGACGGAGACGACTGCTGCCAACCGTGAAAATTGGAAATGCACCGAGTTGATACGGGGCTCCATGGCAACAAGGAACCGTTGAAGATTAAACCGCAACTCGCAAACCGAGATAGGTACGTGTTTGGGAAATTACCGTGTATATTCTACTTGACGAGCTGAAATACATCCTTCCTCACTACCCTGGTAAAAATTGGCAGTAGAATCTGTGTTCCAAAATACCATAGACCTACAGCCGACTGTAAGATTTCCAATAGCTTCTATATCCGGCAACACAATTTCTTATAGCCTTTTACAGCCGATGGCGATTAAGCAACAGCCTGGTGATAAAGTGTATGCTGAATGGTACTATAATTACGGATGCTAGGACTTAGTGAGTTTTTGGACTACCGCTCTCTTTTTGGGCCGTGGTATCTTGATTTATTTTGCGAGGGAAGCTCCGTACTTTTGAAGGATGCCTGCCATTCCTAATATGTTGGAGCGCCTTCAATTTCGTACGATACTGTGCAATACCTCTGGTGTGAAATAGTTGCTGCAAGCGCCGTGGTACGCTGAGGCGCAGCGCGGCGGGCGGGCAGCCAGCGCTAAACGCGCATTGGCGCATACAAACCTAACAGGGATACTTCACGCATCGCGCAGTGCGTGAAGTATCCCTGTTAGGTTTGTAGGCGCCAGTGTGCCGCCGCTCCGCTTTGTGTTAGGCTCTAATATTTAATCTCGTGGAGTCAGCGTTGTTCAACTCATGACTTTGAAATGTTTGCACACTCTGATTGGATTATTCTCATTTTAATTGATTAAAACAAATATGTAGTAAAGGCAAATATAATGTGCGTTTTGTAAATATTATGGTGATTCCGTGCAAACTTACGGATTTACAATGCACACGAATTTCTACACAATTTCTCATAGCCTTTTATAGCCGATGGCGAAAAAGCAACAGCCAGACGATAAAGTGTAAAGCCCGGCGACAGGAACTATAGCCCGGCTGTTTAATTTTTTATCGCTTCGTGTAGCCCGGCCGTATGATTTTTTCCACATTCTACAGCCAGCTATATGATTTTCTATCGCCTTCTTCAGTCGGCTATAAGAACTCCTATGGTATTTTGAAACGCAGCTCCTATCTCCAATTTTTACCAGGGTAGACGCTGCTCAGTTGATTTTATGGTGTAGAGTTTCGAATATCCGCTGTAATTGGGCCAGTGGCTACCGCGGATAATCCGAACTAAGCTAGGTATATATTTGGATAGGAAAAGTGGTCGACGAGACTGTACTTTAAAAGACTCTAAAAGCACTGTCAGACAGAAATGTAACTGTTAGTTAAAAACGAATAAATTTTAGCTTAAAAGGGATTATTTTGATGAGCAATTTTCGATAAGTTTTCTCATAACTTTGAGCAGACTGACCCCCATTATTTCCATGATGCATACTGAAAAATATACCGCGGATAACCGGTATCGCGTATAATTGGTATCGCGGATACGGAGCTGCCATTTCCCGGAACTAGTTCCAAATTCCGGAACTTTTGAGATTTTTCTGAATTTTCCCGGAACTTTTGAAATTCCTGGAACGTTCCGGAACTTTTGAAATTCCTGGAACGTTCCGGATCTTTTGGATTTTCCGGAACTTTTTTGGAATTGTTGAAAAATCCTAAAAGGAATCCCAGAACTTTAGACGGGGTTGGAACAAAAAAGTTCCAAATCCCGGAACTTTTGACGGACATGGAATGGGAGCACTACGGGTGATCGAAGCGCGGATAATCGAAGCGCGGACTATCGGGATTCGATATGATCAACAATCATGTTTTGCAATAGATAAGTGTTATTATTCTCACCCTGTCTTCATTATGATGGTTTGGTTCATGGTTCAAAGCTCGGCGTCATATTAAAATCTATGGAACTCCAGTGATTATTCGGCAACTTTTAAGGCTGATAACGCACGCGTTTCAGTTTTGCACAACATGAGTGAACCTGGAGGCATGATCAAAAGGCTGGAGGGGGCTCTTGCCTGCCTACTTGTATGTACTTGCTCCACGACTTCATTCTCAATGAACTAGCCGCCTCCATAGAAATACCGCAACTGGAGCGGTTATTATCAGCGGCTGCAGTCTGTGTTTACATTACAAAAAATAGAACTAGATCCGATTCACTGTCTTTATCTTGCATTATTTTCCCTTATCAGAAGTCACCACCTGAGTTCAATGCCTCGTGTACTCGTGTGGACAAAATGCCGATGCGCACACTCTGCGCAAGGCAGTGGGCTAAAATCCTCGTTACATTTTATGATCACCAGTATGTGCGCTGAACATTTCTACACAATGAATTAATTACCTTAATGCACTCGTGTGGACCCTTGGAAAATACTCTTATCAAAATGTTCGCCCCATACTTCCTCTTCGGTCGTCGTTGTTTACGTCATAATTACGAACCAACTAAACGAAGAAAAAACGAGAAAAGAAAAAAATTTCAACTTTTTTTTTTTCTTTCTTGGAGGATGACAATACTTCCTCTCTACCCTATGGGAGCGAGAAAGTAAAAACGCCCTAACAGAAAAATTTTACGGTGTATGATTTCTGGTTTACCTCGATAATTGAAGGCGAAATGGCAATAAACGCAGCCTCCACACTCATTCCGTGTCAAAAGGCACGAGAACATGTCCTCTGATGTAAGTTTCCTGTTCAAAATTTCTCGGAGAACACGATTTCAACGAAAATAACTGACACTAACTCCAAAACCACGTTAATGACGTTTTTATTTGATGTTAGTCACGAAAAATGTGCATTTCCCGCGCCAAAGAAAAACAAGAGTCTACTTGAATCAAATCACGCACTACAACGGTTTTGGGAGGATTCTCTATCGACCAGTGTTCCTTTCCTACCTGTTGGTGTAAAATAACCGTGCAGCATACCTGAGCTGAAGTGTCAACCCTGGTAAAAATTGGCGATAGGAGCTGCGTTTCAAAATACCATAGGAGCTCTTACAGACAACTGAAGAAGGCGATAGAAAATCATATAGTAGACGGTAGAAAGTGAAAAAAATCATACGGCGGGGCTACACGAAGCGATAAAAAATTATACAGCCAGGCTATAGTTCCTATCGCCGGGCTTTACACTTTATCGCCTGGCTGTTGCTTTTTCGCCATCGGCTATAAAAGGCTATGAGAAATTGTGTAGAAATTCGTGTGCATTGTAAATCCGCAAGTTTGCACGGAATCACCGTAATATTTACAAAACGCACATTATATTTGCCTTTACTACATATTTGTTTTCATCAATTAAAATGAGAATAATCCATACAGAGTGTGCAAACATTTCAAAGTCATGAGTTGAACAACGCTGACTCCACGAGATTAAATATTAGAGCCTAACACAAAGCGGAGCGGCGGCACACTGGCGCCTACAAACCTAACAGGGATACTTCACGCACTGCGCGATGCGTGAAGTATCCCTGTTAGGTTTGTAGGCGCCAATGCGCGTTTAGCGCTGGCTGCCCGCCCGCCGCGCTGCGCCTCAGCGTACCACGGCGCTTGAAGCAACTATTTCACACCAGAGGTATTGCACAGTATCGTACGAAATTGAAGGCGCTCCAACATATTAGGAATGGCAGGCATCCTTCAAAAGTACGGAGCTTCCCTTGCAAAATAAATCAAGATACCACGGCCCAAAAAGAGAGCGGTAGTCCAAAAACTCACCAAGTCCTAGCATCCGTAATTATAGTACCGTTCAGCATACACTTTATCACCAGGCTGTTGCTTAATCGCCATCGGCTGTAAAAGGCTATAAGAAATTGTGTTGCCGGATATAGAAGCTATTATAAATCTTACAGTCGGCTGTAGGTCTATGGTATTTTGGAACACAGATTCTACTGCCAATTTTTACCAGGGAAACGTCACAGAGCGGCCGATTTCCTAATTTTTAAGTCTATTTTTTACAATTTTCCACGTCTAAAAAATTATGAAAAATACGAACGCAGCTCACTGAGCATTCTCAGATCTCAGATACAAATACATGCAGTAATAAAATATTTCGGTGAAAATTTTCCAATTTCAGTCAGACAACGTCATTAGCCGTCGTTTCCTGCACGGAGGATTTTCCAGCTTGCAAAATTGGCTCTAAGAATTCAATTTTTTACAAGAATGCACCTGTCCAATTTTAGTCCAAAATTTTTTCTGATTCTCCGTGAGATCCAAGGAATAACCAGTAAAATTTTCAGTTAGAAATTCCCGAGATTCTCCTGGTAAAAATACAATTTACCGCGGGAAATTTGGCAACACTGAAATGTAGTTACGTCCAGAGCTAAGATCGATTTTCGCCCACTGTGCGATACGAGTGTTGAGCAACGGGCCTCGGCCGGATGCAAAATACGAGAGCAGTCGATCGGGGCCTTTGGCGGCAAGACGACAGCATTTGAATGGGATCCCGGTTATTGTGCAAATGTGCGTAGGTCGGACCGGTCTGCGTAATTAGGGTGGGAACACTGGTCCAGGATCGCAGTATTCGCGCGTGTCGCGTCTAGTTTTCGCTCGGGTTTTCGGCGAGTTTCGCGCTTATCTTCGCGGTGATAAGTCGCTTCATCGACGGGTTCAGGATGGAGAACGGCTCAAGTTCAAGGTGGGTGATTTCACGCCGATTCCAACGTTTTCGGCTCTTAACCAGATATAACCGGTGTACTTTTTTGTTGATTAATTTTTAATCAAAATCCAACCAACTAATAACGCGACTCTGCAAATTTTCGGCCAAGGCTCGTCAAAAGTAGCTTCACTGCTTTTTGGGCATTTTTTGGCGCTCATTTGGGGAACACTTACCTTAAAATTTCGTAATTTTATGATTTTTGGAAATTTTTAATGAGAATCAATTAATATTGCATTAGTAGAGATATAAATTAGCTTTACTGCTTTTTGGAAATTTTTTGGCGCTGATTTGGGGAACACTCACCTTAAAATTTGGTAATTCTATATTTTTGGAAAATTTTAATAAGACTCAATTGCCATTGCATTAGTCGAGATATAGACGACAGAATGCGGGGGTTGAATTTTATTTTTCCCTCCTACAAACAATAAAAATTAAATTTGATAAATTCTTATAAGTTAGGAATTTTCCGAACTTTTGCGAAAAAAACAATGCAAAAGAATAATCAACATGGCTGTTACGTTCAATTGAGTGACATGACGAAGAGCAGGGCTACATGATAAGTGTATATCCCCTAAAAATGCGCAGTACACTGATTAGTTTTATTATAAATTCTTATTGAGATTAGGTTTCGTCTTACGTTTCTACATCGACTAGATAGCTTATGACTAGCACATGCATCCCGCTTCGGGGAAATGATTTTCTTAAAATTTGATCAAATGCCACGTAATCCGACTAAGCGACGAGAGAAATTTCAGACCGCTTAACCATCCAAGTAGCATGGGTTCAATTTTCTATACAGAGAAATAAAATAGAAAGAAAATGGAAAGAAAATAGATGTATCAAATAGAAGTAAGAAAATTATAAAAAAACTTCTATTTTCTGTTTATGTTCTACGTTCCGGACACTAAATACAAGGAAAACAGACAATTTTGTTGTTTACATTCTATGTTTTTTCTATCCGTTTTCTGAATTTTAAATTTCTAAGAAATAGATAGAAAAAATATCCAATTTTTGTCTATTTTCCATCAGGTTTTTGGATATTTTTTCTTAAGGAAATAGCCCTATCAATTTTCTAGACCGAAAATAGATCCATTTTGTAGACAGGAAATAGACCTATTTTCTTTGGTAGGTAAATAATGACACTCACTTTATATTTTCTGTCTACTTTCCATAATACTAGCTACTTTTTCTTTATTTTCTTTTTTTTCATTAATTTTTTTCATAAAATATTTTCATTTTGCTACTTGGGCAATTTGCAGAGGCTCAAAGGCAGCCAACCTCAACTTCATGGAGATCCTCACGAAAAAAAGGGACGGGAAGGAACTCAACTGTGATGAAATCAAACACCTTGTTCAAGAGATCGTCAATGAAACTGTTCAGGAGTCTCAAATCGGTGAGTTCGTTTCCTTGAGCTTGAGGATATATGTATACCTATGTATGCAACGGAGAGGAGAACGATTTTTCCTATTTTCTTCACAATATTCTCCTATTACAGCTACATCAGTGTTTTCTTTTTCTCTTCCCATCCCAAAATATCCTTCGTATGTATGAGAAAAGAGGAAGAAAAGAAAACGAAGAGAAAGATTAGATCATAAAACGGGAGTCTTTCGTGGTTTTTTAAACATTATTTTTCGTGTTTCGAGTCCAGAAAATTGATGAGAAGTCAACATAAGTACGTATTTTTAATTACGGAAACGGAGGGGGGCTATTTTCGCGCTTACTGCCTACCCTTGTGGACACACCAATTGCAGATTCATAAGAAGCCACTTTGGCCTACCTCATCAATGGAAGGAAATTCACTCCAGAGAGAGCACAGATTTCGACGCAATGGGAGTTTTCGCGCTATGAAAACAAACTTATTCAAAAGTTTATCTTTAACATTAATTTCTGCTCTCTTAACTGGCAATGAAATATTCTTTTCTCTTGTACCTAACAAAAATCATTTGTGTATGACATTCCACCGGAGATTTCCTAGCATATTTGCTTGAAATGCATTGAAACAAATATATTTCACTTCTTAAAAACGGAGTTTTAAATTACATTTGGAAAATTAGCATAGCATAGCAGCGGGGCTATGCCACAAATAATCTTACATAGGAAATGATTTTCGAGTAATTAAAATTTTGCCTTGATGAGTTTCATTTTCGGTAAGTGGGTGCAAATGTGTTCCGATCACACGTCATTGGTCGATAATCTATCTGCAGTTTGAAGTAGCATTTATCTTAGAAAGAATGACGAGAGCGTAAGGGTTCTGATAAAGGAATCCAGAAAATATACTTTTGTATCCCATTTCGAGTGGTTAACCTTGAACATGAGTATAATAATGGAGGGGCTTGGAGGACAAGGCGCATAAGTGCAGTTTTTGAAAAAATTGAGATATTAATAAGGATTTCAAGTAAAACTAGTCTAACGCATATTCTTGGAAAAATTCGCTCCCTAAATTCCGATGTTTAAGCACAAAAAAGTAAGTTTGAACTTTCTTTTCGCCATAAGGATCAAAGTAATTTTGAAACTTCAAACACGTATTTCCCGCGATAGCAAATATTGCACTTACGCGCCTCGCTGCGTCTTCCAAGCCCCTCAATTAAGAAAATTTTTCGGGAGATGACCGGAGCGGCCTAAGTATGTGCCTGAGATGCGAAANGGGGGGGGGGGGGGGGGGGGGTGGTTGGATCGCGATGCGGACAATAGGCGCAACGCCCTGTTGATTAGGGGTTAAAAATCCTGGAATATGCTCTGAATATATGGAGAAGGAGAATATCCATGCATTATTCGGGTTAGGTACATACGCAGCATAACTCAAACTCTATTCACTATGCCAGAAACAATTTAAATTATGCAAATCTAGGCGACCCGATTTTAAATTGGAACTTCTTCCCCTGTTATTCCGATTTGGTGCGATATTAACGCGAGATATCTCGAAAATGCGTGCGCCTTCGAATGGGTGGATCAGGGCCGGAGTTACCTACTTGTCGCCCATAAGCCGCCTGTATTTTGCCGCCCCCTTCTCATTCGTTTTGAAACATCAACAAAAACCAACAAGTGAACGTGCCGGATGAGGAGGGGTCCATAAGACACGTTTACCCACTCGTTTTGGATACATTTTTTGCGAAAGCCCTGTCAACACTACTACCAAATTTCACGGAACTTTGCGCGAAAGTTCCGTAAACCTATCTCTGTGTGGACAAGATCCTCCATTTATGAGAAATGAACCAAAAAATTATGAAAGAGCAAACATAAATGTGGTTTAATAATTTTAACTTCGCCGCTGCACCGCACTGATCGCACTGTGTTTGGCGCAATGCGTGAAGTATTCCTGCAGTCTTGTAGGCGCTATGCGTTTCACGCCAACCGCTCCTGACCGCACTATGTTTGACGCAATGGGTGAAGTATTCATGCAGTCTTGTAGGCGCTATTATGTGTTACATGCCGACCGCCGCGCCGAGGGCTTGTCCTTTTCATTTCAAGTCCTCGTCATCATTCCTCTCTGCGCTGAGCTCCAGGCTTAATTGCGTGTTTAGTTCCTCTCTCAGCTCCGCTAATTAAAGATGCTGTCTCTTGTACTTGTATCGCCGACAAACGACAAAATTAGAAATTACTATAATCTCAGGAAGAGAGATTTTGTCGCCTTTTCTAGATTGTATTTTTTTTTCTGAATCCGATTTTTTTAATACCTACATTTAAAAAAATTGCAAAATTTGCCGACATGGGCCGCGGCCCATGAGGCCACCCCCTTAAGCCGGCCCTGGGGCGGATAGGCAATTTGTACAATTGTCGACAATAATTCTACATTGTTTTCATTTGTAGGAGCTATGTTGATGGCGATGTATATTCAATCCTTATCCATTCGAGAAACGACTTACCTCACAGAGGCATTTATTGAATCAGGTGAGTAGATACTTAACTTATAATTCACCAACCCTAATACCCCCCCCCCCCCCCCCGTTCAACGTTGGAACACTTAAGTAAAATTAAACATTTACACCATCCAGATCATGGATGGCAGATTTTCTGGGAGAGAGTGCCTTAAATACTCAATGATTAAAAATGGATTCATAGAAATGGAATGTTCAGGGAAGATTTAACAAATAAAATACGTCTCTGACAACAACAACAAGAACAACAAAAAAACAAACAAAACAAACGCAACGACAAATTAAACATAAATATATGATCTAAAAAACCGCCTCTGCAAACATCATCCAGTCTTTTCAATCATTTCTATAAATTTTATCTTATTCCCTTAAAAATGTTAGTTAATCTACCTTAGATGATCCAATCATACTTTACGTCTTTGCTTGAAATAGATCCTAATTTTTACAATGACTTTTGACGGTTCTTTCAGCAGTTCATTGCCTCATAGACCGTAGCATGTTAATTAACGATGCTTTGAACTTGATGATATCCAGGCACTGTTTCTGCTGACAAGTAGGTAAATGTGTTACAGGAGAAACTTTGAGCTGGCCACAGGAGTGGGAAGCACTGCTCGTTGACAAACACAGCACAGGGGGAGTTGGCGACAAAGTGTCCATACCACTTGCACCAGCCCTGGCGGCATGTGGTGCCAAAGTGCCCATGGTGTCTGGCAGAGGTCTTGGCTTCACTGGCGGTACACTCGACAAACTTGAAAGTATACCAGGTAAACTCAGTGTCGTTATTGATGAAAGAATACCCTAATGGCAACGGATGTTAAAATTTGTTCTTAAAAGACTGTTAAGATTTACGAAGAAACCCTTTTCGGGATTTTTTTACGGAAACCTTGTGAGAGGCAAATTTTAAGTAAAAACAGTGTTAAAAAAATATACTGGTCTTGAAGCAAAAAAGAAGAAGAAAAAAAATGCGACAAATGTGTACCAAAAAACGGTTTGGAGGGGATAAGTCTAAAAATACACGTGGACTCAAAATCGAGAAAAATCAAGATCTTGGCTAATCCTAATTTCGAGATATCGCAATTTGAAAGTTTCATGGTAAATGCAAGTTTTCTACTGATTTTAATCAGCTTGTTTTATTTATTTGTCCATTAAATCGGTGTTGATCGGTTCACGTTTTTATTTGTCGTTCGATTCATGTCGATCGAATACATCCTCTCGTTACATGTAGACCACCTATCATACTCTTTTTTTCAACTGAACAATTCGCCTTCTTCTGCGTTTGCCGCAATTGTTGTTACGAATATGTTGTGCGTGCTGATTTCAGATCATTACATACTCGACTCTTTGAAGGCGTTTTATGTGCGCAACAAGTCGGAGAATAATGAATATCGCCCAAGCCCCACTTCGTCCGTTCTTCGACAGATTGCGCTACTTGCACACATAAAACGCCTTCAAAGAGTCGAGTATGTAATGATCTGAAATCAGCACGCACAACAAATTCGTAACAACAATTGCGGCAAACGCAGAAGAAGGCGAATTATTCATTTGAAAAACAAGAGAATGATAGGTAGTCTGCATGTGACGAGAGGATATGTAAATTCGATCGACATGAATCAAACGAAAAATAAAGACATGAACCGATCAACACCGATTCAATTGACAAATAAATAGAACAAACAATCTTTTCTTCAAATTGAATTGAAATGTTGAAGAAGACAGGAGCAAATCCTTCAGTTGATAAACTTATTTTCTAGGTTTTAAAGTAGTACAATCCACTGAAAACTTGACGAAAATTTTGGACACGGTCGGATGCTTCATTGTTGGAACAACTGAGAACCTCACTCCGGGCGACAGACAAGTCTATAAATTCCGCAACGTTACAGCAACAGTCAGTAATGACTGCCTGATTACTAGTAAGAAAATTTATTTTGAAGATCTTGCTTTAAAATTGAATGTGTTTAAAATTTTCAATCCACAGAGCTAGACGCTTAAAAATTATTTTCAAAGAAAATATTTTCTGTCACAGAGAAGAGGGAAGGTGATTGAATAACACTTATCATTAAAATTATGGGAATAATTATGTAGAAAAAAAAAAAAAAAAAATCCACGCTTTTCACACAAAAGAAATTAATCGAAAATTCGTTGGTTCGTCAAAATAACGCCAACGAATACAACAATGTCCTATCACATTTGAACTGTGCTCAATTTGAATTTTCCTGCAGTTGGGACAACTTTGACTTCATTGCATTCAATTAATGATATTTTCCAGGTTCAATAATATCAAAGAAAATAGCAGAGGGTGTCAAATCACTCCTACTTGATATCAAAGTTGGAAAAGCCGCTTGGTGTAAAGATTTGGAGAGTGGACGAAAATTGGCTAAAATTCTGGTGAGAAATAATTATATAACATTTCGACGGTGAAAGTCGGCAATCACATAACTCGGTTTGCGACATCGCAGACTTCCTGTCATACTTTATTTTTAAAATGGAAAACTACTTAACGGCAATTCTTTAAAACTGTCATGATTTTTCTTCTCAATGCGAAGAAAATTCTGCAAAAACTTTAAGAAATAATATCAATTTTTTCTCCTTTAAAAAAATGACGCAGAGGCGGAGATTTTCAGACACCGCAAACGAGTTATGTGATTGCCGACTTTCACCGTCGATTTAGCATTCTACAATTAGAGGCTCAAAATACTAGGAACGATTATGAAATTCTTAGAGGATCTCGTTAAAGGATCCTCTCTTTAACAGAGGGTGACAGGTTTGTACGATTGACGAGTTAAATCAGCAAAATAAGTGCATACCAAATAAATATTTCATGTAAAATCATGTAAGTAATGTAATATTTCATGTAAATTATTTTTTGGAAAAAATTATGAAATTATCTTGATTCAGCAATGTTTTTAATGTTTTTATTGATTCCAAATTTGAGGATTTTCTTTTGAAAATCTTCTTCCATGCTTTTCTAATTTTATCGTAAGTCTTAGGTACTAAATCTTACAACAGGAAGATAGTTTTTTCTTCCTAAGTTTAAATTTGTCTCAGGATTACTGAGGGGAACAAGTGTAGCATCTTCTGCAAGCCTTTAATTTTTACTTTTCTCTTTTTTCAGAACTTTTTTCTCCCCTCAGAAATCTTAAAATAAATTGGGGCTAGTTGAAACTGTACATTATTAGGGTTCACAGCTATTAATTATTTAAAACCATGTAGTTTTTTTCATAGGTATCTGTGGCAGAGGAGTTTGGAGTTTCTACCCACGCATTCTTGACCAGAATGGATGAGCCAGTTGGTTATGCAGTTGGCAATGCATTAGAGATAGCTGAAAGTGTTGAATGTCTCAGGGGAACAGGATCACTACAACTACGACAGTTAGTCTGTGACTGCGGTAAGGATTTCAACGATTTTCAATTTCATGCCTATTTCTCTCGGGAGAGAAAAAACAGACAGATCAGTTTATAGTTTTTACACAAACATTATTTAAAGTATTTACTCACAAATTGTGCTCTTTAATTCTTGCCAAAAAAAATTTAATTCTTTCCAAAAAAATGATTTTCTTTTTGGAATGTACCAGAAAAATTTTAGAAGATGGGAGGGGGCAGAGGTGCAAAAAGTTCTTCAGAGAAAAAACTTGTCTCTGCCAAAGCAAAAAGGTCAAGAGTACCCATTGAGCTGAATTATTTAAAAAAATTAGTGCACTTTTCTCATTTCTCACAAAAAAAGTTTTGATTGAAGAATTTCCCCGTGTGCTTGCGGATTTCTTCACATTTTGTTAAAACCTCTAAAGATACTATTTCACTGCTATTCATAATTTCTCTTCAGCCCTTGCTTTTTTCTATCAATTAAAGGTGGTGAGCTATTGGCGATGTCTAACTTGGCCTCAAGTGTGGAGGCAGGGAAATCAATGATTGGTGAAGTTTTGAAAAATGGAAAGGCACTCGAAAAATTTTATGTCATGATATGTGCTCAAGGCGTGGATGAAAACGTCGCAGAAACTTTATGTTTCGGCGATATGGCCACCGTACTACCACAAGCAAAACACAAAGTGCAAATAAACTCACATCAGTCAGGTAAGAGACTAGAATCCAAATTCTCTAAATACACTGCGAAATTTTCGGTTAGTGTGAATATTTCGTAAAGAAAAAAATTTAAAACTAATTATGGAAAATTATAATTTATAGTTAAAATTCTAAATATCCACCAATATATTCAAATGTTTCTCAACTCTTCGGACAAATTCTTCGAGGGGAGGGAGGGAAGGCAAAGCTAAAGGAGAGCTACTGGCTGCCCCCCTCCCCCCAGCATTCTGGCAAGATCCTTCAGAAAATTTTAGAGACATTATGAAACAACTGAGTCACGTTCCCGTTTTCGAAATTGCTTTTAATAGATTGGTGGGTGGGAAAAACCTAAAATTTTCTTAAAACGTTTCTTCAGAGACGATTCTCTGAGCTGCCCTACTTCAATTTTTATTTTATTTTATTTTTTTTTTATTTTTTATTATTTTTTATTTTCTGAAAGAAATATTTTCTCTTTCTATTGTCCAACGAAAAATTATACATTTCATGAGCTACTTTTATTCTGCTATAAACCATCATCAATAGTGAAAAGTGCTATAAAATATGACTAACTTAGAAATATTACTTTTACTTTCGGTTAAATGTTCAAAGCAGCGCTTTGGATAGGAAAAAAGAAAGAAAGCATTTTGAATTAAGTATCTTTTATTGATATTGATAATGTATTGTTCAAAAGGGAGACCATTTGCGTTAAGACTTTTTCTACTTGCATGAAACACTGACATGCTTATTTGCCATCATTATTTTACTCAATACAGAAGCATTAGAAAAGAACAAACGTAAAAATCCAAGACGGATTTTAGACTGGAATGATCTTAATGTGTTTTATAACGGAACTCCTGGTGAGTACATGTAATGATCATCTCAGAGATAAACTTTACAAGAATTATTTTGAGGCAGAACGATTTTTTTGTATTCTAGGTTATATTCAAGGAATCAACGGGTTGATTTTAGCAGAAGCTGCAGGTTCACTGGGAGCCGGAATAACAAGCATCGGTCAAAAAATCGATCACAGCGTAGGATTCCGGCTGCTAAAAACAGTCGGGCATCGGATTAAAGTCAACGAGCCATGGGTAGAAATCCATTTCTCATCAGAATTGAATGATGATCTGAGGCTGAATGTTGAAAATGCACTCTCTGTTTCCAGTGCTTCGGTAGAATCCAAAGATTTTCTAATTCAAGTGATTAGCCAAGGATAACTAAAGAAGGTACCAAAGCCACTTCCTCTTTTTATTTCCCTTCTAGAGGTTAAGACAATCAAAGTTTTCACATATTGAAGCGGCATATCAACGGTGTTTCAAATTATCCTCTCCCATTTTCCTTTATCTAAGGAGAACAAACCACTGTTATCGCTTGAAATTGTCATAGAATATTTTTCACAAAGAGAAAAAAAAACAGGAAAGTATTCAAGAAATAACACAGAATATTTTTCCATTAGAAAAATAAAGTATGACAGGAAGTCTGCGACGTTACAAACCAAGATAGGCATTTTTGCAGTTTCACGGCTTTCACCGTTGATAAAGCAACTAGAAGCAGAGAGAGAGTTTAGCTACACTCGTTTCCATACTTAGGATTTTAAAGTGTCATCTCGCAATAAAAACCAGAACACAGTTAAAAAAAATCACAGCTGTGGGGCCTACTAATGTAAGTTTCATTTGAGATTCTAAAAACTATTTAGAAATGAGGATAAACAAAATTGTTTTCAGAGAATAAGGTAAACGATTTTGGTAAATCTGAAGGAAACTTAAAATTAAGAAAAAGTTGCTGTTAACTTTTTGAAGAAAAGCACTTCTAATTAGTCTCCTGTGCACACTCTTCACTGGGTCTTCTCCGACAGAAAAAAAGAGGGATTTTAACTTATCTAAAAAGAAAAACAATTTAATTGAAGACAAATACACTTTATATTTTGTTTAAAGTTCTTAAGCAAGTTTTAACTATAGCTTAGTTCACAAAATGTACATTATGATGATAAAAAAAATTTGTTAATAAACCCTGTAACTAGCAGTTGTAAAAACAATACAAAGCGTTTTGTCAATACTAGGTATTTTTCTGTACAGTGAAAGCACATTTTTTTTAATAAAATATCACAGAAATAACATACTAGATACAATATTTTACAATGCACAAAATTAATTCTGTACCTTTTATAAATAAATTTTGCTACTTGCGATGATTGAGCGCAGATAGAAGTCCTAATCAAAGAGAACGTTTTCTTTTTGCCAAAAATTCCTTGTATACTTGGAAAATATTAAGAATGGGTTGGAATTTTATTTTATTTAAGTACTTAAATTACATATACTTAGTCTTCAATACTGTCAATACTGCACAAATATGAATAAAAAACACTTTCCAGGTTGAGAGTAATTTACATTTGACAAGACGATGAGTTTCTCCATTTTCTGAGTTTGAAATGTGTTCCATGACTTGCTTTCAAACGCATGAGAAGAACTGACTTGAGGCACACAATGTATTAAGAAGTCGCATTACAAAGCATTTGTTTTTGAATGCTCACATTTTTCGAAAATTTAAAAGTGCAGCTTCTAACTCGAATTAAGAAGACCACTAAGCTCTAAAAAGTTGTGGATCCTTCAAATAGAACATATTGGCCTATTCTCCACTGGCGTTTGCAGGCAACAAATTGCTCTGAAAATTAATCGGCAATCGATTCCAACTTTTGCAAAAATTTTCAGAACTAGGCAAGTTTTTGATTTTGTTCATTGATCAATTTTGTTTCAATTCTTCCTAAGAATACTGAAATATTGTTTGTTCCAACATTTTACAGCCGCAAATAATATTTCAGAAACACTTAGTGCAGACCTTTCAGATGCAATTAGGTAGAGATTAACACTTGAGAGATCTTCAGCCTGCACTAAGTCAAAAATTGACAAAATTATCTGCCACAAATTTCAGAGAGTGATCTCTGCCTTATGACTCAACTAAGGCACGAATGCACATTATTACAGCATCTATTTTTATCATTTCGGAGGTAAAAGTAAAGACTTGAAAATATTCTGATAAGATTTTCAAGAAGAAATATAATAAAATTCAACTCACAGTTTGAAGTTATTATACTACAAACTCCATCACACAGTGGGGTTTTTCTTCATCATAAGTCATCCAATTCCATTTCTTCTAAATCATCTGTCAGTTTTTGTTTCTCCTCAGCGAACTGACTCAGTTTCTCAATGTGCTTCAAAGTGTACGTGTTGAATTCGCAACTAGAAAAAAGATAAGAAATATAAATAAAAGAGGAAGCCTTTGCTAAACAGTTGCCCTTTTTTAAGGTAAAAAAAAACCATACTACTCAACATATTTGGTTCAGGCAGAGAAATTTGGCGCTTGGTGTTGCGCAAATCATGTTCTAAGTCAAATTTTGATGAGCAAATCGATGGTGTACGTCAGCAATCACATATCTCGTTTGCAGTGTCCAAAAATCTCCGCCTCTATGTTATTTTTTTAAAGGAGAACAAATTGACATCATTCCTTGAAGTTTTTGCAGAATTTTCTTCGCACAGAAGAAAAATCACGGCAGTTTTACAGAATTGCCATTGAGTAGTTTTCCGTTTAAAAAATAAAGTATGACAAGAAGTCTGCAACGTCGCAAACCGAGTTATGTGATTGCCGACTTACACTGTTGAAATATGTATCATACTACTTATATTCGCACATTTCCTAGTCATTCATATTTGGAGACCCTAACTTCTATAAACAGATGGTAACTCAAGAAAACCTGGTATTTTCATGATAATCTGCTAGTTGACAGAGTTAAAAACGAGAGAATTCTATGGAACATGACCAAATCTTGAATACACATGAGACATTACAAAAAGATCCCATGAACAAAAATAGGAAGGAAAAATTAGATGAGAAGTAGAATTGTGCGTCCTGTCAGGATACTTATATTTTAGAGATGATCAAATCAAAAACTGATGAGAACTTACATTTTTGAAAGCTCTTGAAACTTCTTGGAGATGTTCTTCTGCAGTAGAACGAGTGTTGTTTGAGATATGTTTTTGAACTTCGTTACAAGATGCTGAACCCATAGAAGATAGAACTCGATGTGCCGGGATGCTTCAATGAATGATGCGACGTAGCAAGTCACTTTTTCTGCATAGGCTTCTGGGAGAGCAGCTACTGTCAGTTCAACTGAGACACAATAAAGAATAAATTGGGATATAATAAGAGTAGACAAAGCAAAAGGCTTTTGTAAAGAATCCCTCAATGTAAGGAATATGTTTCATGGTTTTTTTTTTAGAATCTTTGAAGAGAGGTATCATTTATTCGAATTTTCATTCACTCCATTCATTTTAAAAAAACTGGTGTTAGAGGTGTCGTCAGCTAAGTTGACGATTGTTTACTTTCGGTTTGAAAGCGCCAAGGATGAATTTAGGCCTCTGCACAAAGCAGCGTTTGCTACTATTCACCTTGAAAACATCCATCTCATGATCGTATCATAAAAAAACTACTCATCAGTTATGATTCACAACTAATATGTGATAGTGATTTCTGTGTGGTTAAAAATTGAAGTGTTACAAGGTTTGAAAGTATTAAAAAACTAATCTAAGCTTGTGTTCTTGCTTCTGTGAGAGTCAGATGTTTTCATGTGGATAGTAGTGATGCGAAAACGCTTGCAAGCCGAGAGTAAACAACCGTCAACTTAGCTGATGACACCTCTACCAGGATGCATTTACTGATGGGCCTATGAATTTGAAAATGTTTTGTCTAGCTCTGTGATAGTTTTAAAGTAAGATGAGCTTAAGACTTGGTAAGGAATTAAAACTCAAGAGAGGAAACATGTGCTTAACAAAAAAGCACCAAAGCATACAAATAATAAACTCTGGGGATGAAAACTACCATATCATTCAAAATTGAATAAGACTGGTTCAAAAAATGTCCAGTTAAGGGGTAATGATTAATTATGCCCCCTCTACCATAACAAATGTTTTTTTTTATTCTCATTGAGTGTATTAGAATTATCTTTTGCTGTTGTGCACTTACAGACAAATGTTCTTAAAAGAGGTAGATTGATATTATGTACTTTGCTCATAAGACGTTGATTCTCTGATGTAAGAGTATCTTTTTTTCATCATAAGCCCCAACAAGCATGGAGTTAAACGGTGAACAGGGCTCATGTGGATATTGAGATACGCCTTTACGTCAGAGGGACAGCAAAGAGTACACTGTAGTTATTTATCATTGTGGACTTGAGGAGCAAAATTCTTCTGTCATACCTACTTAATTTATCATTCGAAACAATACTTTTTGATACTGATGTTTTTTTTCAAATTCTTCGATTATGAAGTTTTGAAAATATAAAAAAAATTAGGAGACTGGGGTTAAAAAAAAGACCGAATCAATCTGAGGGTGAAATACTTACTTTCAGACACAGGAACTTTCTCTACAACTTCCCTCACAATGACTGGTTCGTTCAATCGAATGGACATCATTAGAGCTGTTCAAACAAGAGAAATTCGAGATGACTAAAATTAAAATCATGATTCTTTAAATAGGTAAAAAAAGGGTGAACCAGGTTACAAACCCAGCTGAATAGAGAGCTGGAAGTTTGCCTGTAGAGGGGCTTTTATACAAGATACCCCTCACTGAGAACTTGAATTCTGGTAAGACCTCGATTTATCAGATTTCACAGGACCGGAGGCCGAATCCGTTAAATCGCGATCCGATAATTTGAGGTCTTACTGTATAAGTTTTGATTTTGATCCCAAGGCCTGTTACATCAGTTATGGGGCAAACTGAGAGCCTTCATCTTTTTTCATCGTATCTTTTATTGAAAATTGAAAACAACTTTGATTGCTGATGATTGGGCTCCTTTCATAAGGAGGAAGTTAAAGTACACATTTTCACATCTGGTTAACACACTGGATAAAAATTGAGAACAAACCTTTAGCGTGATCATGCTTCCCTAGCGTTTCCTTCACTGCGGCTGGTGTTATTCCCATTTCCAGCTCAAATGGATCAAAGAGGTAATCAGATCTTAAAGAATAAATTAAGAGTCCTTCTGTTGTTGTTGCTGCCCATGACTGACCTAAAATAACCAGACAAAATTATGCCTTTTCAAAAAGCTTAAATTGTAGGACCAAAAGGAATAGGTTTATATTTCGAGTAAGTACTTTTGGGCTGCAAACAAAGTCTTTTGTGACTTTCTTGGAATGAGTTCAGAATTCCTTTCCCGCTCGATGCACTCATCTTTTCTCTTATCCTTGAAAAACTTAACCAGACTGCGCATGCTTCAACTCTAAAGAATACTTGGATTACATTTTGCAAAAAGGAACCACTGTTTCTGGTCCATTTTAGAAACAATGTACATGTCATTGGTTTTCCTATGCAGATATGTGCTTTTATGGGAAAGCCAGAGATAGTGGTACCTTATTGCAAAATGTAATCCACTTGTTCTCCCTAAGGTAATTTTAAGTTTACTAGATGAAACTTAAAGAAAGTCAATGGACAATTTCAAAATGGTAAGCGGTAAAAATGTTTGCAAGTAGAACGCAGACCTCAGAGGAAAAATAGTGCACAAGTTGAATCTGTACATTTAGACTTACTCGATCCAAACAGCTGAGATTTGACGATCAAAATCACATTAAGCCCCATGATTTCATGCTCTCAACTCAAGCGAGACTAGTTTCAGTGCACTTTTGATTCATTGCCTTGCTGTGCGATTGTTGTTGTTGGTATTCTGAGAGGTGGTTTCTTTAATAAAGTGAAAATAGTTTCATGTGTGGCACAAACACCCTTTTCCACCCAGAACTTATCTGATTAGATTGGGACTTGATGCATCTTTATCAAATGAAATTAACTGAACATAACATGGCCATGGTGTTCCGCCACAAGAAATTAAATAATTGCAACAGCGAGAATACCTGTTGGAGAAAACTGAACATCAAAAACTCTGATCTCTGGTTTTGTTGACCTGGATGCCATGTCACCTTTCTTCACACCTGGCAGTTTTAGCATGACATTCCCTCCTTCACTGGGGTCACGTTCTTCCACTAATGCAACGTTCCCAAACTCAGTGAGTTTCCGCCGATTTATGAAATCCTGGTGGAGAAAACATTTGATAATGAAAACACTGAAACTTTAAAATCTATCATTGTCCAAAATGTTAACACACAACAAACTCTCTTTCAAGATTTCAAGTCATTTTGAAGACTCCAAGAATAAGAAATCAAGGAAATGTGACAAGATAAATTTACTCTGGCTGCTCATAAAAAGGAAATTTCAAATAAAAATGAAAATACTATCTTTTTTAATGAGACCCATAAACCTTTGAGCCTTGGTCTGCCGTGGGAGAGCCACGGAAATCCAACAACTTATTGTCTTTTAAATTTATCTTCCTTCCCAACTACAGATATATTTTAAAAATTAAAAATTACAGTTGCAAAATTTTAAAGCTGCCTCCATTAAGACGCATGGTGAGCACGAAGTGTGACACCAAATGCGGCCCAATGGAAGTTGATCGTCTAGTCAACGAATCTGAGCAGACAATTGGTAAACAACTTACGGCACTGACTACCAGGCTTCAAATGTCAAACATGTTTGTTTTCCTTCTGACAGATCGTCAGCACTGACTTTGGTTACCGATTTCAGCATCCCGCATTGCTCATCTTCAATGATGTACTTAAAATAAGGAATGGCATTAGAAAGAGAATGTTCTTCACTTAAAATAAAATGATAACTGAAAACTTACATCCACACCATCTAAGGATCGATTCTGCGTCACCTCAAATTTCTTTATGAGAATGGCCTCATCAACATTATAGATGCAAATAAATTTGGATTGTCCAGCTGCTATAATGAATTCTCCATCCGGTGAATAGCACAGAGTAGAGAATGCTCTGCAAAGAAAAATATTGCATGAAAGCATAGCAATTAAAGTTTTTGACAAAAAAAAAAAAACCTCTCTTTCCTTTTTAAAGTTTCCCTGTTTTCTGATACACCTCTAAGAAACATCCATCTTTCAAAAAAATGACCCTTTTCTAGAAACACTTCAGCAGGAAAAACAGGGGGATGAGATCAATAACCACTTTGATAAATTGCTTTGGCAGGCCCCTTCACACATTGTTCAGATTATTGAGGAGCAATGCATTGCAGAGATGCAGAAAAGTCTAAGCATCCTCATTTTAAAAACTTTTTTTTCTTATGATTTTCAAAGAAATGACAGGCCGTTCATGCTGATATGTGAGGCCCTTCCTATTTTTTAGGCCCTTGTTCACAAGCGTTCTCATTTTCAGAATCTGTTTTTTGTCCCCTACTGATTGCAATCCACCAGTCTGGTAGCCAAAAAATTACTGCACCCTTTTTTTATCACAAAATACACAAACTTAGATTTTGTAACATGCTCATCTCACATCTCCTCACATCTTATGAGGTAACTCGTTGCAGTCAACCTATGAGAGTCAGCATTTCCAATCGACTCATTTTGAGGGTTGCAATTTCTGCGATGCGCTATTCACAGGCTCTCTTCTAGAATAGGAGTTATTCCTCTTATATCAAGAAGTGCTACTATTACTGTGGTCAGGATAATATCTTGTAAGTGCATTGCTTCTGTGTGCAAAGTTGCTGTAATTTTTGCTTGAGTCTGTGGCAGTCACGTAAAGATTTTTATTCATTCGACCAGGGAGAATGCAGAACTTCTAAAATCATAATTAAATACATGCATACACTTCTTTGCCACTTACTTGGCTTGTAATGTTTTCTTGGCCGTGATACGATCAGTCTCAAGACGGCCACTGCCCAGGTCATTGCGCCCTTCAATGCATCCAAGTTGGTTTCCATGCTCGGAGTCAAAGAATGTTATATTCCCATCCAAGGTCGCAACGGCAACTTCCTTACCATTTGGTTTATACACAACATACAAGCCTTAAAAGAAAAAAAAAATTTAATTAAGCCATCAATAAAAAAAAATTCGGATTCATTGAAATTCTTTAACTTGCAAAATAATAAAATGCTCGTTTCCTAAGATATCTTGCTTCAATTCAAAATGCAATCACTCAGCTCCCAGTACATGTTGATCAAGTTTAAACAAGTCATTCTTTGATAAAAGATTGATAATTCTTTCAAATTTTAAGACCTAAGTACAGCAAACTCCTGTCCCAATACTAATTGTTTCTAAAAACATTATAACATTTTACAGATGTTGCATTTACGATATTTAGAGGCAAACCTTAGGTTTGGGGCACTCCCACCCATTAAATATGAGCCAAAATCAATTGTTGCTCATACAAGGACGAATTCTGTTTCACATTAAAGGATACAGTCAAAGGAAAATTAAGTTTACCATCTGCGAGAAGCTTGACTGTCTCGTGATCTGTCCCGGTTTCCACAGCATTCCAAAGTTTTAATGACTTGTCCCAACTGGTTGAAGCCAGCGCTGAACTTGACATGACTGGACTAAACATAAGACTTGAGACAGGTCCTTCATGCCCACTTAAGACCTAGGAGATAGAAAATGAAAAGATAAAACTCTGTCTCCATCAAAACTGGGTTTTACTTCACATATGTACACCTCATCTAATTTGGAGGCTTTTTGAGCTTTCAATATTTTTTTTAAATTCAGAATGTGAGGCAATGGTCTACTTCAAAGGTAATGTTAAATGCAGCATAACTTTTGGCCATTTTGAGCCCAAGCTTGATTGAATTGCTTTGTTATCCCCTAAATACCAACATAAAATAAACTTTCAGGTTGGTGGCACCAATAGAAATTGGCGAAACACCTGCAAAAGATGAACATCAAAACTACCGCCATTTGTTTCAAGCGGCTTTAGCACTTAAGATGTATGAAAGCACATCCCAACTCAGCCGACAAAGCTTAGAATGAATGGAAGCGATGGAACTACTAACCTGAAATTTGAATGAGCGACAAGATTCAATCGTACAGGGGTGCAAAATTCTAGCAAGTCAAAGCAAATTCTCCCTGGGGTTTATAACTTTTGAAGACAATAAGATCTCAATTTATCGGAATTCAGGGGATTGACGAATTGATCCAATAAATTACAGAATCCGTTAATTTGAATTAGCTTGAAACCCTTGAAGGGGGCAAAAGATTGACCGCGATCTGATGAATTGAGATCTTACTGTATTTAGAAAATGATTGTTTTAATCTTCTCAGGTAACTTCATACATTAGGTGGATTTCAAATTTTGATATGATCAAGTGATCAAAGGCAAGATAAGTAAACTAACATACAAAAAATTAGAGCATTTCTCAAACCTCAAGCAAGCGGCCAATTTTTATGGACCACAGGTAAATTTCAAAGAAGTCTTGGCCTCCAGCGGCGACTAATTCTGAAGTTGAGTCAAGAGCCAAACAAGAAAATTGAACTGGTCGCGGAGATGTGAAGGTTCTGAAGTTACGATACCTAAATGAGAAACAAAACAGTGGCTGTTGAAAGATACAAATTCAACTCAAACATCCTAAAATCTCCAAATTATACATGATTTAATTCCAAATTGATAGTTGTATGTGTTGAGTCTGGCTGTATTATTTAATAAAACACCATAGACTTAAAGGACTTGTATGAAAGCTGAAAGAGAGAAAGATATGATCAAATGAAAGTGTGCAGTGAAAAGAGGTATGCTCCCTCTTTTCACATTCTTCTAAAAAAAAATTTCCTAATTTTTCATAATTAGAGATTGGTAATTAATTACCAAGGCGAAAGACTCAACGCTAGGGAACTTTCTCTAAAAAAGAAAAGAGAATCAAATATCAAACCTGGCTAAATCAAATGCTCGGACAGTTCCATCGAGTGACGCGGTGACAACAAATTTCCTGTTGTTGCTGAAGGTGACTGCAGAAACGCAAGACTCATGTTCCGTAAACGTGACAAAACAGAAGCCACTCTGTGTATTCCACAATTTCACCTGCCGCGAAAAACAATATTATGTTATGAATATTGAATCAGAGCAAACAAATGTTTCTAGTTTTTTGCACAGGGAAATTATGAATACTGAAAGAATTGGGTGTACTTAAGTTTGAAGGAATTATAAACATAGAGTTTACCTGTTCCATTAAGCATATTTACATCCAATTGTCCCTGTAGAGAAATAACGCTTGCTTTTGCTCAGGCATTAAAAACACGTTTGAACGTGACTGTTTGCAAATCTGGTATATTACATGATGTGAGCAAGATGGCAGTATTAGAACTACAAACTAAACCATGAGATGAAACCAAATTCCACAATGTAAAATACAAATGACGTTATCTGCATTATCTAACTTCCATTACATCTGTGTCAAAAGTACGTAATTTTATCTCTTTTAGGAGTAGATTTCCAAGACTCCCGTTGTATGAATCATTTCTATAAAATTTTTAAAAGAAAATACATATTTTTTTCTTGTTCTAATCTCGTCTAGTAGCATATTATGTTAAGTGTGATTTAAAGAATTTAGGGTGGTTGACAATTTCAAACTTTTAGCTTGGACTTACATTAGAGGAGAAATTCATTTTAATGGAATGTGAGAAATAAAAGTGTGATACCTTCCCATCTTCACCACCAGTTACAATCATGGCTCCGTCATGGGAGTAGGCAAGAGTAGACATAGCATTCTCGTGCCCCTGCTGCTTCATGATGTACGACTCACTCTGCCACTCCCACACTACGAGTTGACCTCGAAGGGAGCATCCTATTGCCAGCCAATCTCCCGTTTTATTTAACGCCAACGATGAAATTGAGTTTTCTGAAATGCTGAAATGATTGTTAAAAAGACCATTTAAAAAGTTACTCATTGTATGGATGTAAAAGCAAACCTTACTCAAGAGATTCAATGTTAGATCAAAAGGTGCTGACATGTGATCATTCGGCCAAATGTGTAGGTGAGTGAAAAATAAGTTTCCTGTGCTAGGAAATTAACTTGAAGTTGAGACAACTCCAGATGTGCTTTGACTTATCAATGTTTGATGCGTGTTGAGATATTGATAGCTAGGCCATATAAAAAGCTAGGTGCCAAAAAAGTGTACTTCAAAAACCCTATTCAGAAATCTCCTACCATGTTTTAACTCCCACAAGGAGAACTATTCAATATTTTCCCTGGCATTTTTGTGTGATGTTTTTAGAGTGTAAGAACAGCTGTTGGCTAGTTTTTTCTGTTACAAAAATGAAACATGAACAGAGACTTATAACATTGTAACCTGAGATACGCTTTTTTCGATTTTAGCTATTCATACCCAAAATGAGACCCCCAGAATTACCTGAGAGAGTGAATAAGATTTACGTCAGGTAGCTCATGGATGAAAAATGAGCCGTTGGAAAAGCCTGTGACAAGGATATGTGTTCCTTTATGGTAGTCAGCACAGGTGAGAGATACATTTTTTGTGTCCATTTCTTTAAAGTTGTCCTTCAGATAGTGGCGTACTTTTTGTGAATACTGCAGCTTGGTGAATTCTTGAGCTTCTGATGAAGGAAGCTCCTTGATGTCTGAAAAATTTAATAGACAATTAAAAATTGACTTTTGCGAAATTCAAATTAATAGAAGAAAACCAAAAACGTACGCAAAATAAATAACTAAATAAAAAAAGTAAAATAAATACATCTTTCGAAAAACCCACAAAATGTGCTACTTCCTTCTGAGGCACTAGGCAGTGGACAAATAAAATGAAACAACAACAAAAAAATTATTAAGGGTAGGAGCTTGACTGATTAAATTGAAAAAAGGCCGTTGTCTGCTTTTGAACAAGTAGGAGGATGAGAGAAATTTATCTTGGAGGAATAACTTTTTCATTAGCATTGTGTGGCTGAACAGGGAAATAAGCTGCCAAACATGTTCAAAGTGGAGCAAAAAAGAATACTTGGCTTTTGAAAATTGATACCTCTTTTTTCATAGAAAAAATTGCAGAAATGGAAAATATAATTAACAAGTATGTGAAAATAATTCAGATTAAATCTCTTTCAAATTTCCTGAATTCAAAAAATAAAATGTTTGAATTATTCCAATACACATTTTTTTAAAATACCAGGTTTCTGCGATTAATCAAAATATTTTTTAAACCGCTGTGATAAATATGCATGTACCTGCTTCTTCCTGTAAGGCCTTCTCACGTTCCTCCCCTTTAGACAAATCAATATCATCTTCTTCCAGAATATGTGTGTCACGTTTTTTCGCTTTCTTCCTAGGAGCCTCAGGATCGAATGGCACAAGGTCTGAAGGGTCAATGTTACAGTCCCACAGAACCAATCGCCCATTTTTGCTCAGAGATACAACATCCAGTGATTTAGTTTCGAAAAAAACAGCCATGATTTCTTCCGAGTGGCCACCAAGAGAATAGATGTGAAAGTTCGCCCACCGTTCAGCTCCAAAAATTTTTGTGCTGCCATCTTTTGAAGCAACTGCTATTACACTTAAAAGAAACAACAGAAATAATAACCATTTTAAAAATAGATCACATTAGGTGAAAATCATCATGCCTTTGATGCTGACTTTAAATAATTGTCCATCGATGAACCAAACTGTATTTTAGGAGGTCTTCTTGTTTGACCTGTATACAGTGGTCTGTACTGCCTAGAGTTTTCATATTTTCTTCATTCTCAAAATACCTGACTTTTCTCAGCTTTTTCATGATTTTCCCCCAAATTTCAAAATTCCGTATTTCATGACTTTTCCTCAGCTACAAACAAACTTCCACTTGCATTTTTTCTTTTGATTTACACTGACTTCAGTTACAATTTTTGAGGAATTCCACCGCTACAAATTAAATTTTAAAAAAATGCACACGGAAATTATTCCTTCTCTCTTCTGCCGGCATTGGCTGAAGTTGCTGAAATGTTGCACTTCAAACAAAATTCTCAGACTTTCTAAAAATTCCCTGACTTGCCAGGTTTTCTGAACAGCTAAAAACTTTGGCCGTGACTAAAACTACAAGAAAAACATTTTCAAAGTGAAGTCAATTTTGTTGACTTTGAATTTAAGTGAAATATTAAATCTTGCAGAAATACCTTGAATCATCGCTCCAAGCAATGCCTGTTGTGTCGTCTAATGAAGCATGGAACACTCGTTTCATGATGAATTGATTAAACTGACCATCAAATTGGCCAGGGACTTGAAATAGGAACACTAAAAAAAAGGAAAAGTAATTAGATACTATAAAAAAATATCATCATTCAATAAATACATGTTACCTACATTATGTGCTTACATTATGTTCCTTTCATCACATTCTTAAAAAGCTTGTTAATTACAACTGATTGAGATTAACTAACGAAACGGATACTTAATTCAGTAGAGCAATTGAGCTTGGTGCACAAAGTTCCTGTGCCCAACACACAACATTTTTATTTATAGTGGTAAGAAGACACGCTGCAAAGCACTTAAATGCGAGTGGTTAAAATTTACAATTACTGATGCATTACATACAATACTATCAGGGTCAATACTCTTTTGCTGCTACATTTTGAGATAAATTAGATGATTGAATCGGTATTCTTCACAAGTGCCCAAGTGCCAGAATTCACTTTTCGTGAAGAACGGGAAGAACTGTGCTATTTAGCGTGTGCTTAATCTTTTGAGCCCAAAGAATGTACATGCCTGAAGAATACCTATTATACTGGGCTGATTGAACTCATATTGAACGGCTCAGTTTTTCTTGAGAATTGGATTTTGACCCTTGGGCACTTGAGAAAAATATGAGTTCAATTTTGGATTATTTTACATAGTTTGATTGTCTATGACATGTTAGGAAATTAGCGATGAAAGTTTTAGCTCTGGTTGCAATAAAAAGTTGGAAAATGTATGTTCTGGACATGTATGGTAACTTTCCTGAAAATTATGAATACTTACAATTATTTTCTTTTGAAGCTGCTAGATACTTTCCATCAGGACTGAATTTCAAACAAGTAACAGTTCCTTTGAATCTGTGGCGATGGACTACAGTGAGACTCATCATACTAACCAGATGCAGTTCTCCTTCTGCGCAAGTAACAGAAAGACAGAATTGAAAATAAAGTGAAATCCAAATGCAAATAGCTTGCTATCTTTTAGTTTACTATCCATTCCTTGTAATACCTGCTTGTTCAGCTTTGTCTGTTTTTTGCCTTAGTAATTTTTTGTGCATTTTTGTCATTGGGATTATTCCCATTGGAATTTTAAATGAAAATAAATTAATTAAATGAATGAGTAAAGGAGTAAGTCTTTTGAAAATATATAATTATGCTGTTAATGGCCATTGTGCATTATTCCTAACTTGCTGAGGCAGAAGAGCTTCACTTAAAATATGCTTCTTTAACTTATGATCTCTTTCATCTGCCTAGACAATACTGTCTAGTTTTCAAAATTACATTTCTTAGTCCAATTGAACACTGAGTGCTGAGATCTTGACTTTCTCTGGAGTTGAGTCTCTGAAAACTCAGAGTCAGCCACAAAGGCTCTGGTTCCAATGCCCTATAACATGCACGCGCAGATGCAAGGTCAGAAATCTTCTACACTCCTGGCTCCGTCAGGTATTATAAGACCATCAGGATTTAGATCTTTCAACCGACAAACGAGACATTTAAGCCTATGGATGCCTGGATTGCTCTCATCTTTGAAATCACCCACCGACTTGATTCAAAATTCGTGATTGTGTGAGTATTTAAGACTGTTAAAACATAAATAGTTATACCATCTACTAGACTTAAATACCTCTAAATTAAGAATAGGTTCTGAAAATGCCTTAAAAATAAGCAGTTAAAAAATTAAGCATTAATACCTTCATTGACGGCTGCAAGGATGGCACCTGAAGGTGAGAGATCCAAGAGGATGAAATTAAATCGGCTCTCGACAGGTAAAGTTGATGTTCGATTGCTGAGGGAGAAGCAAAAATTTCAATTCAAGCAAATCATATGAAAGTAGGGCTGTCCTTGAAACGTTGTTTCGCTCGTTGGTTTATACGAAACGATCGAGCGATAATTTCGTAGTTGTTCATTTCGAAATAATCAGTTCGATAGCTTGTTTCATTTCGAAAGCCGTTTTGTTTCGAAGACTGTTTTGATCAGAATCAGTTACAGTTATTTTGATTGGTGCAATCTCATGAGGATTCCCGTGGGAGTAATGCATCCACCCCTGATAAAAGCTCTAAAACGCTTTCCGAAGAAAGTTCACAAGATTAGAGGATCCCAGCTGGCTAACATCTTTCCAGTAAAAAAATTCTGGAAAACAAGACCAGGTCCCACATATTTTTACACAGTGATTACAGACCTACTTACTTATAAAGCCAAAGAGAGTAATTCCCGAAAAAAATTTCCGGGAACCCTTGTACCCGTTTTGTAACTTTCTCGAGAACCTTTGATCCTGTATCGGGAGAAAATACAATGAAGCACCTACCCTTCATATGCTAAACATGGAAAATCTTGTTTCAACATTACAAAATAACATTTCAATCGAAATGAAACAGATCTTCAACGATGATCGAAAAAATCGCTCGCTGGTTTCGCGGACAGACCTATATGAAAGAAAAAAAAATATTAGAAAAAAATTATTGTGTTATGGAATCTTTGTAATCAGGGGTGAAGAGATTTCTTTGCCTTCAGATTTTATGAGGCTGCCCCTACAATGCTGTCCATATAAGACTATTTTCCCTTCACATTTTTTGAGGAAGCCTCTACATTGAGCTTCAGTGTCACATAAGAGCTTCAACAGTTACAGTGCAAAATTCACCAATACCTCTATCCTATAGGACTTCATCATTTTTTCATCTCAGAATATGAAGATGTGTGCGTTCCTAAGTAAAATCCAAACTTATATAACAATTTGTCGCTGTCAAGGAAGGATATACCTTCCCTGTAGGAAATTTTAAACTATGACAGGAAAAAATATTTACAGTCTGCTATTAAAAAAAAGTAACATTTCTATTTTGGAATCTACTTAACATATACTGCATCATAAATAAAAATAACAATAAAGATACAGGGGTGGGTTACGTACTTCTTGAGATCGAAGATGGAAATCCGATTCCCGACAGGACTGATGACAGAATTGCCATCATTGGTGAATAACAGGTTTCCTTTTCGGTAAACTGTGCCCAGCAAGTTCGAAAACTGAAAAAGAGAAAAATTTGGTGATCCACAGCGCAAATATAACAGGCAAAGTGTATTGTGAACACACATAGCTGGCCAAAAAGTTCCAGTTTCTGTGATGAAAGAATGACAACAATGAAATTACAGAAATGCATACCTGTATATCATAACACATGCTTACATAGATTGCAAAGTTCCAAATTCCTATTCCTATTTTTTTTTTTTTTTTCTTTTTGGAAGTATTGTTTGAAGGGGAAAAATCCGACACACTTTTGTGCGATGATGATCTCCATCTTACAGAAAAATTTTAACTGAAAATTCGCAACAATACAAACCAAAATATGTCAATTTGTATTGTAATTTAACATTAGTGCGGTATTGGAAAAATCAAAATGAGCCAACTAGCATCTTCCTCACTCTAGATAATCCGAAATTTTCCATGAATCATAATTAATTTTTTGAAGCAAAACAAACGCACAAGCAATGAGCTAACATCACCAATACAGGGGTGCATTAAGCTCAGAGACTCATATATCGTTTACCAAAACCCACTCCGTTTAACAAGTAATTTCATCAATACAGCACTGATTATTCTTCGATCCCATCAGATACTATATTACAAAGTGTATAACGTTGCATTAAAGAGGCTGCATGGTCGCAGAAAAAGGCTCTTACAAGTAAAAGAGAAAGGTAGATGTCAAGCCTTGGAAACTCCTGACTCTCACAGATATACTTGACATTGGGGAGTAGTAGCAGTGGTCTGTCTCTTAAACACCATGTGGACCATAGAGAAAAAGGAGGAGGTGTTTGCTTTTCTGGCATCTTGGATTTTTTAATGATGAGGATCCGTACAATTTTTATAATCGATTGTTTAGAAATGGTGTAGTTAATAAAGTCATACTATGTAAAGTGTTTGAAATTACAATATGAGTTGTTTTAAGCAAAAGATCGGACATTAAGGTCCATTTTTCATACTTCGACTTCCGAATTTTGCTGAAGTACCTGAACCAACCTGCGTCACAGGGTAAACGGTCCTCAAGAAGTTGACACCTCCTTTCTTTTCTCTATGACGATAGACAATGGTATGAAATCACTATGGCTATCGAAGGCCTAAGGAAGAAAAAGAAGGCAGTAAACCGCATACTAAGTTCAGCCTCGTGCTTACATCCTCCTTTCTCTTGCGTACAAGTTTGCGTGGATAGCATGGTAGGGATAGCGGAGTGGTTCCTCACATTCCCAAATCCAAAATAATATTAATGACAGCGAGGATAAATTTAATTAGGATACTTACCTTGTATGAGAACTTCATTGTCAAAGATAAAGTCGAAAAATAAGAATTATTAACTGCAGAAAAACATAGTTATCAAATATCAATGTGATAATTTCAAATGACCACGAGTTTCGAGGAGGTTAGCTGTGCGGTGTTGTCAGAAAGGCAATCATTCCTCGCTTCTCCCCGTTTCTTTAATTACAAACAAAACATAAATTTGTATAACTTGGCAACTCGACGCATCAGCAAGCTTGCCCATCACAACAATGAAAAATGTCAAAACCGCGAAGCTCAATCTACGTTTTCAAGAATGGGACTTTTTGAATAAACTCACATAATGTTTATTAAGATTTTCTCAAATAGACCAATGAAATTAATTCATTATAAATCAAAGTAAATTAAAAGAAAAAAACGGTCTTTTTTCTGATTATCATTTTCCATTTTCATTAAACGACGCTGTTCTTTACGGGATTTTCAGACTATGCATTTAGCAATCTTGAATTCCCCGTCAGCCTCAACCTGGCCTCAACCGAAAATTCAACAAACAACAACGACCCTTGGAAAATTTACAAACTTTGACTTTTTTTCGTTAAAATTGTGTTATTTTGCGGGTTTCATGAGTTCCAGTGTCTCCTAATTTCGAAGAACTTTTCGGTGAACTGTTCCTTTGCCCCGCAAAAAAATGGATATGGCCACCCGAGATGGTAGGTCGCTTTGTTTAACCTGCATGCTGCACGACTAATCTAGGATTTTTCAACCCCATTCGGCCGAATTTAAGCTTAATTTTTGTTTTCTAATTCGGTAGCCTCCCCTGTAAATCTTTAAGCATTGTAGTCGTAATTTATATTTCGAGAATCAGGTCTTCTCTAATATCTGTTTTGGTTTCATTTTGTCTCAGACCTGGGGTTAGTTTGGATGGGAGAGATGCTTCTTCCGAACAACTCCAACGAAATGATGATGGACCATCCTGTTGACACTTCTGCTTATTTTACGGCGGCCCAGCCTGCAATTGAAGACTATCAGCCACGACCACCCATGGTGAGTTATCATCTTCAGCCCCCTATTATTCATTTGTTGGTTTGCATCTAACTCGGAACATCACAGGAGATACCGCAGATAGCTGTTCAGAAATCCCTAGCAAAATTTTAACAGGGAATGGATGTGCATTGAATAAGTTATCAATCTGCAGTGGATCATTTGAAGCTGAGGCATTTCTGACTTAGATAATGACATTATTTATTGCAGTATCACGAATTCTTAGAGCACCAAGCACAGCGAATTTTGTATGTTCCCTCCAACCTAGGAAACCCTCATTGCTTCTAAGAAACCATAGATCTAACACCTATTGACGGTGAAACTGCAAAATTTTGAAACTCACCAGCAGTGTTCTAAATTACCCTTTTTCATTTCATTTTACGGAAAGAGAATGATCAAACAAAACACTGTTGCTGAAAATTTTCCCTGCCGTCTCTTTCTACAGAGAGTAAGTAAATCTCAGGGAAGCCCCTGATAATGACATTGAGTATGTTTTAGAATTTAAATTTAGACACAAAGGATTCGGCAGCCTCGGTGTAATACTGTTGATCACTTGACTATCACATTGCTGAAGGGAGGTGGGCGTTATTTTGCACCTCTCCAAGAGACTGGTTTAATTACGAAGTCATTCGGTACAATCTCGAACTGTTGGTTCAAACCAAAACAAATAAAAAGGCCTAACATACTTAATCTCTCGCACCAATTCTTCGTAAGTTAATTGTGATAGTTCTTTACAATTTAGTCATTGACAGGTCTTACATAAATCAATTAAGAACTCATTAAACATGAGAAATTTTGATTGCTAGAAAAATTTTGGCGCATTTTCCTACCATGACGCAAAGGACACAAATCAAACACAAGGTTATGTGTTTGTTTACAATTGAACTATGAAATAGCCACTAAATCAGTCTAGTGCCACTATTCACCTGATTTTTGACGATTTGATTATTTAAACTTCCGCGGCCCATTCAAGGAAATAGCAAAATAGGGGTGCGATAGTTTCATATTTTATAACTTATTCATGTCTATAAAATTTTGGCTGCACTTCAATCTTAATCTAGAGGGACACCGTGAGACCTCCCGTTGTTGGAAGGAAAATTCAGTTAAGTAAGCCATTGATTCTCTGTGGAACTTTATGATAGCTTGTTTTGAAGAGTCTTAGTTAATCCATTTCAATTTATTTGAAAGCAGGCCCTAGTAGAAGTTTTGCATTAAAATTGCAACTTTCACCACAAAATTGCATTTTGTCATTCCAATATCTTCACATTAAGTTTTTGGTCTATAAAAGGCGATCATAAACAATTAGACAATTATTAAAATATTGGCAAATTGAAAAATAAGGAAAAATGTCTATTTACTTCAGTTTTAGTGCGTTCTATCCCAATAGAAGATACCCCTTCAAAGGATAAGTAAGTAACATTCACTACACTCCGATGCTGTAGATAGAATTATTCCATGGATTCGCAACCTCTTGCAACCTGTGCTTCTTGGGTATATTTGCCACCCTTCGGCTTGAAAATTTGACCTCTCTATGCAATTTTGAAAATTTTGAAGGTTATTAAAACGCTTCTCCCCCCTTCTTATACAGCTAATTTAACTCCATTTCAGTTTTTGAGCGGAAGCTTTTCCGTTTTTTACCATACCATAGTATTTTTTTCTGTATATTTCATGTTAATCCTCTGTTCTTTAGGAGATGGATGGGTTTATGATCCTTGAAGAACTGGAGGACCCCATGTATTATGGTATGAATAACTCAATGACTATGATGGCGATGCAGGATGACCCACATACAAAAATGGTCACAACCTCTGGTACACAGACGGCTCAGTTGCCCCAACCAGTCTACGCTTCCCGCAAGATTAAACCGGTCAAGCACCCAGCACTCAAGCTACAAACACCTATTGCATATCAGAGTGATACCGATCACAATGTCATTCCTATTCAACCAGAAGGCAGAGGTATATCTATCATATCATCCACTTTAGCGTGAGCTATACTAAGATTGGAACTGTGGAAAAAGCTCAGCATCCTATGCAATTTTACAAGTTTAGTTGCGGCTCTTTTGAGGACTTTTAATTTTTTGCTTTTAGCTTCCAAGGAATTTGGTACTTGGGAGCTTAATGGGTGTGTTACATGTTGCTCCATGGTAACAACTTAATTTGCCATCTTGTAACGAATGATTTGTGAAATACTCGGCATGTACTTCAAGAGGAGGGCAAACATCATGGAACCAAGGATGATAATTTTACCTTATTTGCTGTCTCATTTTTAAGACATTTTTCAAGTGCTTATGTAAGCATCAGAAAAATTAGTTGACGATTAACTTGTTGACAAATTGGATGTGAACGAATTTCTAATCTTTCAGTATGTAGTGTAAAGTACCTCATAATGGACCAAATTAAATGTCAAAACTTTAAAACTTGATGGGTAGGTATAACAATTTAGTGAAATCAAATCAGTGTCAGTAGAAAACCAGTCAACAAGTGATTGAAAGAATAACTGAAAAGGAACTGACTTGACTTTTATTGTTTGGCAGGTGTTTGTGAGAAATGCGGTGCTATAGGTGTAAAACACTCTTTTTACACAAGAGAACGACGATACTGTAGCATGCAGTGTGTGAAGTTGGCTAACGAGGATGCAGAGAAGTACTACCTAGCAATGAATCAAAAACAGCAACAGCAATCTGCTCCACCGCAGCAAGAGCAAAATACTGTAAGTTTCTCAAAGCAAATATATCTTGGAAAATTGTCTTACCTAAGGAGAAGGTTTTCTATGCCAAATTGAAATTATCTGATCAGAATTTTCCAGTAACTCACAGGAGGCTGAAAACGTTGTGATTAATCATGTATGTGATTGTACATGGGCTTCTTATCTCAAGATGATGACAAGAAAATTGCATTTAACTGCAGATAACTTTCTCCGTCATCCTCATTAATATACAGCAGCATTTAAAAATTAGCAGAATTTCCCATAATTTTTTTTGGCATCTGAAATTTTGAAATGAAAACCGATGAATGACTGATGGTCGGTGACAACTTCCAGGCACCCTAATATTTTGGAAAAACTCCTCCAGGAGACCATTGGCACCATTTTATTTTTTAACTGCAATTGTCACCCTAAAGATTTTTTTTTAAAAATGATAGGCAGTACCAGCAGTGATCTCCAAACTGCGTTCTTAAACTGATAGGTTGGTGTTGACGTCCAGATCAGGAGAGTCACCGCCATTAGACTTAATCCCAATCATGATTTCGATCAATGATCAGAGGACGGATGAATTCTTCCGGTACAATTTATTTGTACACCAGTAGTAAAATCTAGCCAATGACTACTTTGGGACAACTGTATTCTTAAATGATGAAGAATAGAAAACCATTGGTTGTCGTGCCAATCAGTAAAAAAAAAAAAAAACCCCTCTTGTCAAGAGGTCCCAAAATAAAACTTGAATTGGGGCTTTTGAATTAAAAGGGTCGAGTTATGTCTTTTTCATTCACAACCAGTTAAAGCTGTTTGAATTCAAACCATATTAGGATGTCATTTTCAGTTGGTGAAAGCTAGGAATTTGTGATTCTAGCAGGGGGAAAAAAAACAAACAAGCTAACAAATAAATACAAAACTTGTAACCTCGTTGATGCAAGCAGCCTAAACAAATGAAACTGAGATTTACTCCATAATATTCAATTTCAAAGAATGTTCTCTTAACTAGAACCATATGAACAAAAATACACACATTGGGCCACGCTTGCAGTTACAATGGACCAACAAAAAGTGCTTTCATTCGATTTGGTCTCTTCACTCACAGTAAAAATTCACTAAATTAAGATCTTTGTTTGTAATTATTCATTTATTGAACTTTCAGAGCTCTGACATGCAGGTGGATCCACCATCGAAACCATCACCTCAAATTCCACCACCAATACCCTTATTTCTCCCAGACGAGCCTCCTTTTCCACCAGATAAAAAATTAAACTCAGAGCTTCAGCAGTCCTACAACTGGTCACTTCAACTGAATGACCCGGAGTTTCAAGCTGCTCCAGTCTCAAACTTCAAACACGTAAGTTTAAAGTCACAAAAATTTCCTCGACAAGGGAGTGCTATGTTTGTCACTAATACACTTTTTCTCTGATACTAGATTCAAACATTTTTGGAAATAACTAACGTAATAACGAATCATTTAGTGTCTGTAAAAAGTCAAATAAAACATGTGTCATGAACTGACTCACAGTGACTCATCCAATAATCGTCATGACAGTAGGCAGACAAGTTGACTCTTTTTTCGTAAATTTAGACAGACTAAGAGAATAACAGTTCGAATTTAACATATTTTGGCACTTATGAGAATCACTTACTTTCTTTCTTTTTCGCCCGATGCAAATTTTGGTTGTCACTATTTAAACAAGTTTAAATAGTGACAACCAAAATTTGCATCGGGTGAAAAAGAAAGAAAGTAAGTGACCATAGTTCCCGATAAAGAAAACAAAGAAGTAGTAACTTATGAGAATGATTATTCTAGTTTGACTTACTTTTTATTCATGTGAAAGTAACCAGTCTAATTTGAAATTGTGCAATTCAATGAATTTTATATCAGATGTTTGGGTTTTCAGGCCCCCATGAGTGATTGTTGGGACAATGTCATTGTTGGAATGAAGGTTGAAGTAGAGAACACTGATTGTGATAATTTCTCAGAAGATTTCCCTGATTCATTTTGGGTTGCTTCAGTCTTAGAAATTTCTGGTAATGCTCACATCTTTATTATTACTCTTTTTTTTGAAATACCTCTTTAGCACCTCAATAATACACATGCTATCCTTTACCAGTCTCAATTAGCCTGCTGGAACTCGCAATTAATTCAAAAATTTTGAAGTATCCATTGAAGTTTTTGAGTCAAGAAATTATTTTTTCTTTGTTTTGGGTTCTTTTTTTGTTTGTTAATTTCAAGGTAGAGAAATTTTTACATAAAAAGAAATGCAACGTATTTTGAAATGTGTCAAAAAAGATTGTGGCGTAACCGTCATGTACCTTGTCAATTTAACTGGGTTATTGTTACAAAATTTTTGTTTAGTTTCTCTATCAAGAATTAAAAACTTTTTTTAATTATTTTTATTCCTTTTTCTAAAAAAAATTGCTTTACAATGAAAATTTTCTGTAAAAATCGTTCCATTACTAAAATATCCAGATCAAATCATCGCTTTTGTCTCACTCAATAAGTTGTCACCAGAAGTCAAAGAGCTTGCAAGGATGAAGAAACTACAGTAAGACCTCAATTTATCGGATTTCACAGGACCGGAGGCCGAATCCGTTAAATTGTAGAATCCGCAAAATCGCGCTAGTCGGTCCTGCTGAAGGGACCGGAGAATCGATTCGTTAAATCGAGGAATCCTTTAAATCGCGGAATCCGTTAAATCGCGATCCGATAATTCGAGGTCTTACTGAAGTCAAGAGATCATATTGAAGTGAAAGATCAGTACAAACAATTCTGCTCTTGCTATTTGCCTCTTTATTTTTCCCCTGTTAATTTTGAAACATGTTCTTTGAATTTTAGGTTATAAAGCATTACTACGGTATGAAGGTTTTGGTGATAATTGTAGTAAAGATTTCTGGGTGAATCTATGTTCATCATCAGTACACCCAGTCGGCTGGTGTGCCACTCGTGGGAAACCTCTGATACCTCCTAAAAGTGAGTTAGAAAATTTATTTTGAACCATAAAATCTTGCATTCTGTTAACTTGTATGAGTGTTGAAGGTTGTCAGCAAGTTATATTTTGTTGATGCGTTTCCTTTACCAAAAATTTTGAATGTTTGAAAGGTAAATAAAATTTCTTAAACTAACACAGAATTTTTAAAATAACCAACATCGGTGATAGTGTGGAGGGGTCTACGCCTCTAAAGAGTCTAGCTGCTTGCACATCGTTTTGACTAATTTATTCTCTCTTCTCCTCTACTCACTCTTTAAAATCAAAACGTAGGTGGAATATATTCAAGAAGGGTCTTGCTCTGTAAGATTCAAAGGTTTTACCGAGTAACTAAGAATTAAGTATTGATCAGTAACTGCATATCTTAAACTTTGTCGAATTTTATTTTTATAAGACTATTTGTTCATTGATCGTAGTTGCAAGTAGTAAATGTTTCTTTTCTTATTCTAAGTACCGCATTCTCTAATAATTTAACATTTTTTTCAGCAATAGAAAATAAGTTCCAAGACTGGAAGGATTTCCTCGTTCGAAGACTGACAGGGGCACGAACTCTGCCCTCGACGTTTTATTCTAAAGTTCAAGACAGTATGAAATCTAGATTCAGGTGAGTAATTTAATGTTCGGATTATTTCTCTTGCCGCATGCTCCCACAAAAATTAAGGATGAAAGTATGAGCCTAAACAGGCTCTTTCATTGGGCTATTTACTGAAAAATATTTCTCAGTTTTTGAACCTCTCAGATATCGGGTTCATTTATTAGTTCTATCTATCTTTCTTCAACCTAGATAGTTTTCTATTCTGAAATGATGAAAGGGTTTTTTGTATTTTTTTCAGTTTTCATTATTTACTGTCAAGTTAATGTTCTCTGACTTAGGCAGTGTAAGAGATAAAATGAAAAGTTTTTAGTCGCATAGTGAGTATGCGTAGTTAGGACTTGAGGATTCATTGGATGGTTAAGCCAACAACAGACACATTTGCCATATTACATGTATCTCCCGTTAGGTTCTTAATGACAACCGAATATATAACATATATACAACCGTTGATAACCGAACTGCCCCATGAAAGTATATTCAAAGCCATTCATTTTTTAGTCGTGCGGTTAAGCCGTTTGTTTATCATAGAGTACATATCATCAACCGAACTCTCGAACAACGTATCTCTGTTTGTAACGTTGCAGATTTCCTAATGTTCTAATTGGAAAAATACACAACGTCAATAATTCTTCAAAACTTTCTTGATTTTTCTTTTCTAGGCAAAGAAAATTCTGTGAAAAATTTGAGGAGTGATGTCGTTTTACTCTCCTTTAAAAAAAATAAAAAAGAAGCGGAAATTTTAAAACATTGTAAATGAGATATGTGGTTTATGCGTCTCACCATCGATATGTTAGTTCTGTATTAGGACAATGTAAAAGGGAGAGAGAGAAAAAACCCTTAAAATTTTATGAACCATTCCAATATTCTTGAGCCTGCTCCTGAGTGTTTCTTGTCCTCTGATTGAAAAGAAAGAGGCAAAATAAAATTATGTTTAATCCTCCATAGCATGACGACCCAATACATTTTTCTATGCTGTGATTTTTTTTCAGGTGTGACCTTAACTTGGAAGTTGTTGATAAAAACAGAATATCTCATGTCAAAGTAGCAACCATTGAAAAAATAGTAGGCAAGAGACTGCAACTGAGGTATTACGATTCTCAACCTAATGAAGATGGTAAGTGCAAATTATAAAACCTACAAAATGTCATCTAATACTTATTAGCCACGTCAGTGGTTCAACTGATCAATGGACGTAGCAACAGTGTACGTTTCCATGATATTATGGGATCAGTGACAAAATCGCCTCTAGTTTCTGTTCAACCTCTATAAAAACTGCCAATTTTTGTGAGGGAGGTCTTAATGGCAAAATATAAATTAAAACTGTTTCTCATCAGGGAATGAGCTCCTGAAAATCAGGGAAAATCAGGGAATGAGCTTTGCCAAGAAAACTAGACACCGTGCATAAAGGAAACCTTACATGTGCCATTTCTCAATTTCTTGGAAAAAAAATCAACAGAATGGACCAATCTACATAGAGAGTTTTCAAAATTGCATACTCTGATTGAGAGCTTGAGGAGATGCGAGCTTTTTTTAAGAATGTCTTTTCAAGATCCCTTCTCCTCAATGACATCCAACCGTAATGTACATTATTAAATGATGACTAAGTTGAAGAATTCCCACTTAAATTTCTCTTAAAATTCCAAGTATTATGATAGAATGTGCAAGAAAAAGTCAGAAAGTGAAAAAGAAACCGTCTTTTTTCAGTATTTTGGTGTCATGAAGATTCCCCCCTCATCCATCCTGTCGGTTGGGCCAGACGTGTTGGCCACACATTGGATGCGCCTCCAGCATATGTTGACCGATGTTCCAAAGGCTTGCGGGATAAGGACGATGCAACTGAGGACCTTTTCCCAATGGTCGATTACAAGCATCTCCCCTCAGGACTAGCTTTCCAAGAGGGTATGAAACTTGAAGCAATAGATCCGCTCAACTTGTCTGAAATCTGTGCAGCCACTGTTAAACAGGTGAGAAAGCCCTCTCTTTATGATATCGATACTTATTGTCTTACAAACTCTGTCGACACATTTTTTGTAGGACATTCATGTGAAAGATGGAACCATTGGCATGTGCTGAGCTTTTGCGAAAGAAAAAGAAGAGCTGTCTTCTATTTAAAACTGCTGCTATGTGTGGCGGAACGCTTTACCTATTCATAAGCAAAGGTTATTTTGAATACAAGTTTGAGTATATTTTGAGTATCTCCAAGAAGTAGTACTAAGAAATGACCTTCGAATGTTATAGAAAGAATCATGTTGGTCGTATCAAAGATCTTATCACAGGGCTTTTCTAACGATCATTCCACTTTTCCACAGGTCCTAAATGACGGTTACCTGATGATCCGGGTTGACTGTTATGATGAAGATCCAAACTTAGTGGATTGGTTCTGTTACCATATTACATCCCCGTGTATCTTCCCTATTGGGTTCTGTGCCAAAAATGAACTACCGCTCACCCCTCCAAAAGGCTATCTACCGAATACTTTCAATTGGACTGAATACCTTGCAGCCACTGGTTCTGCGGCAGCGCCGGTCAACCTCTTCAATAGCTTCCAGGTTCGTAACCTCTGAATTTAGGTTGATACTTGGTTATTACCTTTTCTGATTTTTTTTTTTCAAAAATATACATGACCCGAGAAGTTGAGTCCAAATATTTACCACTTGAAAAAACGGTATTAATCTGTTGAAAAATTGAAAACATTTCTAGGCGCCAAACTCAAGTTCAAAGGCAGAAGGAAGCCTCAAGAGGGAGTGACGTGACAAGATGAATCTGATCTGTGATGTATAATTATAATTTCTAGTAGAAGCTTGTCTTAAAAATTGGAATTTTTGTAATATAAATGTTTGAGCATAAGTTAATGAGGGGTTGTTCATTAGGAGACATAGTCAATTGAGTAGACTTTCAAAAGTGAATTGCACTAAATTACACACATAGAACACATTAAATAAGTTATCTCATAAATACGTTAAATTTTGCAGGATCGGCCGATGCACAAGTTCACTGCAGGTATGAAACTGGAAGCGGCTGACTTAATGAATCCGCAATATGTATGTGTAGCAACAATATCTCGAGTTGTCGACAGACTGCTCAAGGTTCACTTTGATGGTTGGGAGGAGGAGTATGATCAGTGGCTTGACTGTGCTAGCTGTGACATTTACCCCGTCGGTTGGTGTGAGCTTGTTTCCCGTCGTCTTGAGCCCCCTCGCCCACCCAGCAAAAATGGTATCAATCAAGGTAACGCTCATTTTTAAATTTTATGCATATTATCCTAAATTATGGAAAAACTACCCTACCACTGCACACAGTTTTCACCAATTCATAGAGGCAAAATAATAATAAAGAAATATAAAAAGTCGAAAGCAAGATAGAAATTACGTCTGTTAAACTTTCTTTCACAAAAGATTAACACCACTGAAAATATGATAATAAAAATAAGGCAGTAACTCCTCTCAGCTTGTTGGAAATTGACCGCAGCATTGCATTTGAAAGTAAGCGATATCACTCTGGCTGAATATGAACTAGAGTTACAAGTGAATTTGCTGTAAAAAGTTTTCAGAATCAACTAAAATGAAGGGAAACTTTCATTTAACAATTAAGAAATTTGAAGAATATGTGCCTTAAGGCCTGCAGCTTTTGGCATTGAAGACAAAACTAGAGAGACAGCAGCCAACAATGAAAGTATCGGCTTGCTTTTTCGGTTAAAAATGTTCTTGCAGCACAATTTTATGGTTGATGTGTAATTGGTACTTCTTCTCCTTCAACTCAAATGATTTTAAGTTTTCTTATTTTCTAGTGAGTCGACCTATTGGCAGAGGTCGAAAACGACACAAGCGGCATAAACCTGTAAATAGCGGTGTGCGAAAACCAGCGCATACATCAGAACAACCATCACAACAGTGCATCAAGGAGGAGATTGTACCTGAGATAAATGATCCTCATAGTGGCACTAAAGATCATAGGATGACTGTAAGTGACCCCTCTTGTTAACATTAGTTCATTCAGTTAAAAGTTTTTCTCGGATTTTGATCATCAGAAGTGTTTAAACCTGTACTTAATCACCCTTTGACTGTTGTTCAAGAACTCCAGAAGTTTGATCTGAACCATCTAATAGTGAAATTATGAAACAATGTATTTCACTTTGCACAGTCTCTGTTGAAGGATGACTGCTCATAGTCATTCAATGATTTTAAAAATATTTTTGTACAATTTTACTCACTAATCTAATCGAATGTTGTTTTTGAATCGTTTCTGTTGGAACTTTCAGCGAGTGCATTAATTCACCCAATCTCAAATCTGGTCTAGCTTCTCGCCAATATTTTTGTCCTGCTTGTATCGGTTCATTTTAAGCGATTCAGTTTAAGAAGGGCTTAAGTGGCGAAAAGTTTGTGGTCTTAATTGAGCAGAAATCAAGGGAATGTGGTTGACAACGCAATCTCTCTGCAACACATCTTTTGGTTCTTTGTTGCCTCTGATTATTCATTTCTTTCACTCTCTTCCTCTTAACCTCTTTAGGCTGTGCATGATTGACTCTGAGGGGGCGAATCTTCATAAAATTCATAGTAGAGAGACAAAATCATCTCTTAAAAATTTCTTTCACTTTTTAAAGGATGATAGCAGTTCCTCAATGAATGCAGATAAGAGGCAGCTGCAACATTTAGGATCAACCGTACGGTTTGAAGGCAGTAGTAGTACAGTTTCCGGTAACCCAGAGCCTGAGACAGCGATGGAATCAGTTGGACCTGACCAGTCTCTACCAATGTCAACTAGTTCATCTTCTGTTAAAGTAAGTTAAAAATTGAGCTTTGTCTAAACCTTAGTAAGTCCTCTGCCACGTCAGTTGATTTGACCGAGAATGGTGGTTAAACTCGGATTATTGGCCAAATGTGGTGCCCCAAAAAGTCATATGCAACCTGCTGCGAATTATTGAAGCTGAGCAGCAATTTCATCAGGAGGGTATGGATTCGGTCAACATGAATCGATCGAAAAATGAAAACGTGAATCGATCAACATGAATCGATCGAAAAATGAAAACGTGAATCGATCAACATGAATCGATCGAAAAATGAAAACGTAAATCGATCAACATGAATCGATCAACATGAATCGATCGAAAAATGAAAACGTGAATCGATCGACACCGATTCGATCCACATGAATCGATCAACACCGATTCGATCAACACGAATCTATTGACACCGATTCGATCAATCCATTCACGTCGATCGACATTGATTCAATCGATCGATTCACGTCTATCGACACCAATTCGATCGATTGATTCACGTCGATCGACACCGATTTGATCAATCGACACCGATTCGATTGATCGATTCACGTCGACCAACACCGATTCGATTGACATCGATTCGATTGACACCGATTTGATCGATCGATTCACGTCGATCAACACCGATTCACATCGATCGACACCAATTCCATCGATCGACACCGATTCGATCTACATGAATCGATCGTCAGCGATTCGATCGACATGTACCGATCGACACCGATTCGATTGACGTGAATCGATCGACACCAATGCGATTGACGAGATTCTATCGACATGAATCGATTGACACCGATTCGATTGACATAAATAGATCGTCACCGATTCGATCGACATGAATCAATCGACACCGATTCGATTGACACCATTGCGATCGACGTGATTCTATCGACATGAATCGATCGACATGAATTGATCGACACCGATTCGATCAACATGAATCGATTGTCACCGATTTGATCGACACTGATTCGATCAACATGAATTGATCGACACCGATTCGATCGACACCAATTCGATCGACAAGAATCAATCGACACCGATTCGATTGACACTGATTCGATCGACATGAATGGAACGAAAAATGGAAACTTGAAACGATTGACACCGATTCGATTGACACCGATTCGATTGACACCGATTTGATCGACACCGATTTGATTGACAAAATTCGATCGACTCACGGCTTTTGTCGATCGATTCATGGGTTTTTCGATCGATTCACGGGTTCGTCAATCAATTCACGGCTTTTGTTGATCAATTCACAGATTCATCAATCAATTCAGGGGTTTGTAAATTGATTCACGGTTGTCGATGGAATTGGTGTGGATCGATTCACGTCGAATGATTCCCGTTTTCATTTTTCGATCCATTTATGTCAATCGAATCGGTGTGAATTGATTCATGTTGATTGACTCATGTTTTCATTTTTTGATTGATTCATTTAGATCTAATCGACACTGGTGTTTCAATAATTATGATCAAATCGGTGTTGATCGATTCATGTCGATTGATTCATGTTTCCATTTTTCGATGGATTCATGTCGATCGAATCAACACCCTCCATTGCATCATCATACATTTCAACTTTTGATTGCGCAAAGTGTAAATGTATTAAAAGACTCGGAATTAACTTAATTTTGGTTTATTTCTATCATATCTTTTCCATTACCCCACTTTAAGACTTTGTTTTTTCTGTAAAAGAGTTCTTCTAAAAACAGTGGATCAGTTGCCTTTTTTAAAATTCACTTTAGCTCATTATCAGAGAAGGTTTTGTTCCGTAATAAACCACTGAGTGAATTCCTCTTTATCTCAATGAGATCAAAGTGCGGTGATCAGAACCTTAAACGCCACTTTTTCAAAACTCAAAAACTCGATAGCCGCAATTGTCACAGACTTGGCTTCATATCTATGTATATTTAAAATAAGAGCTGTCGTGTTGAAATGAAAAGCCACTTAAAAACTAATGTTTTCATTTTCTAATCTGGTTTTTGATCATCTCAGAAATCCTACACAGGTATGAGAAGGTTAGTTCCTAGTTTTCGTTGAAAGAAAAATAAAAAGCTTCATGGCAGTATGCATTTTGAAAAAAATACTTATCTCAGATTTTTAGTTTGAATTAAATTCAATAGAGTTTTAATGAACCTAATATTTAAATTTTGACTAATTTGCAGACGGAGCCGCCTGTAGGCACCAAAGTTTCGAGTGTGATTCCGCGGTTATCAGACTCAACATCTAGTTCTCAACAAGTTACGCCAATGGAGTGGGATGTGACCCAAGTGGCTGAGTTCCTCCGGATCAATGATTGTGCGGCTTATTGCGACAATTTCTCTGGGAAGGTCTGTATTCTGCTTAAATTTTTTCATTCTTCACTGAAGCCAGAAAAACATAACATTACCAGTAATGTTAATGCCTGTGTATTCTATGATTCAAGAATTTTAAATGATAAAGAAAATTTAATCTGCCATTTATGGTCACTCAAGCATCTTAAAAAATCAGATATTCATGCACAATTGAGTAATTCGAGGAGGGTTGTCAGTGGTCTGGAAACTCAAGAAAGTTTTGGATTTGCGATGAGGGAAAAATCAGAGAATTTCAGACACGTCTACTGACCATTGAAATATATCACTGATATTCTAATTGTTTACCCTTCCTGCGGGCCGATTGTTGAATCGTTATCGAATGACCTTGATCGATATATAGCATTGTGAAGATAGGGAGTTATCGATCGAGTTCATTCGATAAACGATTCAACAATCGAGGCGCTGGCCATTTTTAAGGCTTAACAACTGTCATCTTTTAACCGGTTCCAGGACAGGAAGTCTACTCCAAAATGTCTACTAACACAAAGTCTACACTTTTTTAGGCTACAATGAAAAAGTCTACAAAAGCACGTCTACGGCAATAATGTCCACAGCTTATACATGTCCACTTACCAATACTGTCTTCACGTAACAAAGCCTACACGATTTCACCGTTGTAATTAAATACACATGAATTACTAGGGTGCACAGAATTGCAACTCTGTCTCCATTGTGAGAAGGGAGCAACTCAGTTGACATCTGTTGCTGAAGTTTTTTATTTATATTTTTATTTCGCACACGTTACCTCAAGCCGTAATAACCATTATGGCAGTGGTTGTTTAAGGAAACAAGTCCTCTAGAAATTTACACTTCTCAACTTCATCTTTCCCATTTTTCTTTACAGAACATCAATGGCAAACAGTTACTGGAACTGACCAAGGAGCAGATAATTGACTTAACAGGAATGAAAGTTGGACCCTCATTGAAAATCTTCGACCTCATCCAACAACTCAAAAATAGAATGAACCCATCGTCATCTAGAAGTAAAATATTAGGCCTTAAAAAATTCTTGTAAATTTTTAATTTAGAATCCTCAATCCTTAAGTTTAAATGAATTAGGAGATAAGAAGTCACTAGCGACCTTGCATTATTTAGCTAAAATATTCTTCTCTTAGATTTTTTTAAGTTGAGACAGTCTTCTAATGCTCTTCTTGATCGATACTCTGAACTTCAATATTTTGAATTCATGAATCTAATAAGAAGATCTTCTATATTAAACTCCTCTCACTTTATATATATTGATGTCTTGATTCGTATTTTAAAATTACGAAGATAATCCAAACAAAGTGTTACTGTTTGAAGATGAATCTTCAAGTACTATTGTTTGAAAATAAATCATCACATCCCACAAAAAAACCATAAATATGTTTAAGTCCATGAAGTTTGCGGACTTGATCAGAAATATCAGGAGCAGCAAAATTTTAAGTGAATGATTAATTAACAGCAATATATCACTCAGGGAACTGTGATTTTGAAAGTTGACCCCTCTAAAATTCATATCTAGGTGGAATTTTGGTATGACACACACTCTGGTGTGTCATTAAAATCCACTGTTTTTCATGTACACCTGATATATTGACGCTCGACAGTGAAACTACGGAAATGGGTATTTCGTTTGAGGTGTTTTTAAGTCTTAGCTCCCATTTTAGTATATCAAAAGAGAAAAAATCAACGGTATTGCTAGAAATTTTGGCAAAATGTTCTTTACTTAAAGGAAAAAAATTGAAAAAGTTTTCTAGAAATGACGAGTATTTTTCCATCTATAGAATGAAGTATGACAGGAAGTCTGCAAAGTCAGGCAACGAGATGTGTGTCCCTGCAGTTTCACTGTCGAAATGCAGTATCAGAATCATTCGACTGTTGCTATGGATCACTGGTATTTCTAAAGAGTTATTAAAAATATTGATCTCATCCTAAATTCGTTGAAACTTTATAAGTTATGCAAATCATCGTTTATCATGAACGTCACCTTTTATGTATTTCAAAGCTACAGGAAGTCAAACATGCACTTTTTCTATTATACGTAAGCTGTCCCATAAATACCCGGACTGACACCATATTTCAAAAATAATCTACTTAACAGACCTTGGTTTCATTAAAAATGGAATAAAAAGCAATTGGCTGAGACCAAGACCAACTTATTCGGACAAAAATTGACAAAGTTATTGCAGTTTAAAAATAGGGTGTATGAAAAGACCTTACGAGTGTTTTACAAAAATTTCTCCTGTCTTCTGATTCTTCAAGAACCTCTCTCTCGTTCTTAGAGTATTTACCTTCGGATCTAACATTTTTCTTTGCGTTCTCTTCATTTTTAATGTATTGTTATCTGGAGTTCCTCCATGGGGATGCTTTTGAAAAATTCCTGTTTTTTGTTCTCAAGTGCTTCCTATGATTCAAATTGCTTTTCGCAAAAAACTTGCTTAAAGTCTGGAACTAGCCAGACATCACATGATGCTAAATTGGGGCTGTACGGTGGATGCCTAATGGTTTCCATTCTATTCTTTGACATGAAATTTGTGGTGGCTTGCAAAGTGTATGGTCGCACATTGTCTTGGTGTAACATCCAGGTTGCCTTTAAATGTGGACATTTTGCAAGACATGATAACAAAAGTCCTTTATAACACTGCAATATGCAATAATCTCTATTTACCTTGGTCCTTTCTGGCTCAAAGTGCTGACAAACAAGGCCCTCAGAGTCTAAAATACAATTAGAATTACTTCGCATGCTGATTTTTTTACTCGAATCAACTTAACTTATCAACTCAAAAATTTTTATGGTCTTTTCATAGGCTCTATTTTGAAACTGCCGTAACTTTGTCAATTTATGTTGGAATGAGTTTGAGTAGCTCAGTTTTTGAATTGGCGCGTCAATATGGGTATTCATGGGACAGCCCTTGTACATATAGGAAGCAAATATAGTTTTTATCTGTCAACTCAATGAAAACATGTATTTTTTTTGTCTTTGTAAGTTTCTGCCTTTTTTCGAAAAAAATCAAAGTAAGCTCTTAAATTATGAAGACTTTTTAAGTTTATTTCTCCAAAAGTATTTTACAAAGGTAAATACACTACTGTTCTTCACACTCTTGAATCCCTCTGGATAGTGTGAAGAATTTCTTTAATTCTTGGTTTCTGCCTTCGTCATGTCTATTTCATGTTTTCTTTTATTCTTGTTTTCTTTTTTTATAATAATACAAGAAAGAAAAAAACAAAAACAGCATTGTACTATAAAATTAAGTTTTTTCACTGTCTCTTGAAGAGCAACAGAATTTATATATCAAGAACAGTGTGTATATAAAATGTAAAATTTCAGATCTCCAATTTAGATACTACATGTTTTACAAAGTAGCAATGATTTTTTTATCATTTTACCTTTTGCTTTTTAATTTCTTCTTCTCTTTCTAACAATTTTTTTTTTTTTTGCTTGTCCAGCCAAAATAGATTTACATCTATCTTGCCATTTGGTACATCACCATGAAAATATCTTCATATTTTTATTTGTGTGCTATTAGCATGTTTGTTCTCGAAAATCTCTGTAGTTTATAAGATCAAGACTCTTTTTTTTTTTTACATTATTACCAAGAAAAGCAAAATTTCACCTGAGAAAGATTACTTCTTTTTTAACCATATTTTTTCTCATTTTCTTGTGTTGGTGAAATGGAACTTTTTTTCCTTCTCCCTTTTTATCTAGAATTGTTGTTAGAAAATTATATATTTACATAAAAATCTGTCACCAATATTAGCACAGACATAAGAAACAAAATCCTAAAAATGTTACTTAACTCCTTAAATATCGTGAATGTGTGGCATCAGCTAATAAACTGTTCATTATGGGCTCTTTTAGACCAAAAAGCATGTATCAGCAATCTTCCTGATTAATTTCAACTCTTAAAAACTTCTAATTCTATATGTGCAATTTTACTTTATTTTTTGTCTTTGTCTCCATCAGGTTTAAGAAATTTTAGGTTTGAAAAATTCATAATGTCATACTAGCAGATAGTGCTTTTTTTGAGGAAGTAGGTTTTCTTATCTGCTCTGCTACATAACGCTTCTTTTTTCTTGTCATTTTTAAGAATGTACAAACCAACAGTAAGTTGATAATTTCAAATATTGATGTTATTACTTAATCAAGTTTGACCAAAACTTATTCAGCGATCAAATCATCTCATCTAAAATATAATTTATAAAAATAAGATGAATAAAACTCAAGACTTATTTCATGATCATTAATATCTATCTTTGTGTCATAACACCACTTTTTCATTTAACTGATCGCAACAAAAAAAAATCAAAATTGAAGTCTAGAACCATGAGAGTATTTTAGAAATCCTTTACTTAGAAATATCTAGCTTCAAAAAATGAGTTATTTTGCCAAGTGAAGCTACACCGTTTATTTTGTTTCTGGTGTTAATGTAAGCAATTTAGAATTTTTTGCTGATATATTTGCCAAAACACTTTTGGCCCCCCATGTGAGTAATATAATCCATAATGGATCTCTAGATAAGGTACATTAAGCATTCTGATAATTATGTTACCTTTTCAAAATTTCGTTTAAAAGATGATTTGCGCCACTGAAAATCGCAAAAATTATTTCCTAACCAAGATATCAATGTTTTTATTTAGCACTGGTTACGAATTTTTCTGTAGAAGGCAAGTCTTTGAAAGGATGTTGAAATCAAGTTCATAAATTGATCCTGTACACAATTTTTCAACTCCTAATCTCAGTTTCATCTGAGTTTCACAGTGTTATTTTAAATTATTGAAAATTAAACTTAGTAACAGCTTGATAGTATTCTTTCAATTGCTATTCAGGGCTGCCATATTTGTTGAAGGATCCATGCATTCGTTCTGGTATCCTTCGGAGAATGCGGCTTGAATAGTATAAGCCAGCATAGTTGTATAGTGTGTACCACCGATTTGCCTTGTCAATATCCATTTTTGGAATTTGGTGAGAAATTTCACCCGGTTTTTCCCAGTGTTTCAGTGTGAACATTTGTTAATATTGAAACTGTCAGGTTATTCAGATTGGGTCTGGTTCTAACTCAGCCCGTTTTGCCTAGTCAAAATTTATTTGTCGATAAATTGTCAAGTGCTTTAATGTTTTGACTATTGAAAGCTGAAATCAACGCATTTTTGCAGTAGTTTTTGTTCTGATCATCTATTTTTTTACAAATATTTTTTCCTGTAAATAAACTATAGAGTTTACAAATCTAAAACTGCTGTACTTTTGTTTTCTGTTCCTTCAACATGCGCTCATGGTTCGGAGCAAGGATGAGAAAAAAGCAAGTTAATATACTTGAGATTATGAGAGTGTGTCAAAGGAAATCAAAATGAGATTTATTTGAAACTTGTCAAGGTAGAATTTTTATGTTTCAAATGCTGTGCATTTTTCTTCTTCTTTTCTTTACTGCAGTCCTAAAATGTAAAGGAAGGTTTTTATTCCATCAATCTAAATTGACATAGTCAGCTTATATTAAATGAAAATGTTGAAAACGTCTATTTTCCATAGTACTGGCACTACTGTACAACAGCTGATCAAACAAAAAACAAGTGCATAGGCAGCACCCACCTTCTCCTTGCACACTTCTGCGCAGATAATTGATCATGCAGTATGCAGCTACTAAATGTGTGCGCATTACCTACTCTTCTACAAAATAATTTAAAGCTTTTGGCTGAGAGCGAATAATGGATTGTGAAACGAACTCATTTAAAAACCCTATACATGATCATTTTGATTTTATAGAAAAAGAGAATATTGCAGTTATTAATTTTTCGATTACCTAGTGATTTAATCACTAACATTTGGGCTTAGAGAGAAGGAGGTGATACCCCCTTCGTGGAGATCCCCACTCTCCTCCCGGACTTCCCTCCCGCGGATAATTTAACCAGGTCATCAATTTTTCAAAAGAGAGAGTCCCTATCCTTACCATAGCAAACTTGGTGACAATTTCGGAGAATAAAGAAGATATCAAGGGGTTTTAATATCAGTCAACCTTACTCTCTAAGAATTCATGCGTTCCTCACAACACAAGATGTTTAATCATCAGTTGAAAAATTACCATCATTGCATCTCCCTCAGAATGTTAAAAATCTCTTACAAAGAAATAAATTACAAAAAACCGTCGCATTTAGTGTGTGTGTCCTCAAAACAGTATATCGATGGTTGAGGTTGACAAATTCGTAGGTATCTGTAAGTAATTACAACCTTGCAAATCTGAACTCACTTTAAAATGAACAAATAAAACAGTCTACATAATTAGAGTCCATCTTTAGATTTTCACCACTCATTAGAAAAAAAACAATTAAGAGAAAATGTTAAGAAAATGCTTTGATCAGTTTCCCACTTTGAAAAATCAAAGCTGCAAAAAAGACAACTTTCTCAGATTTTTGCCATTGAAATGCGGCAGTAGATGCGAGAGGACGGAGTGACATCCGCAACGCCTTGATGCAAATATTCGGGCTTTATGAATGTCCATGTTGAATACCCAAAAAATTGAAGGCGTTTCGGCTATTGCCCGAACAGGAAGGTACCCGTACCCGAAGTTTTCTCAATATAATTTTTTCCCCATTTTCTCGTTAAATAAGGGACGTTAAACGAGGGAGCAAGGGACTCCGATTTATTTCATCGGAAAACAAAATCTCAGTGGTTTTTGCGAACACCGTGTCGCGCAGACGCGCTCATTGCTGCTTGGGATAGAATGAGCGCCTGCGTTTTTGCGAATATGCAACCCGGCTATCCATTGCGCTCGAATAGTTGCATCCAGGCGTTATGATAGGTGCAGATGAATTGCCACCTAATTTCAATTCCCGCTGCGCCAAGAAAAAGAAAACTATTGGAACTATTTCGGCGTGTAATGGGAGGAGTAGAGCTAAACCCGACTGAATTATTTCTTGGGTCGTTTTAGAAAATGCGGCTGTTCCCGGCGTGCCACTCAAATTCAGTAATTAATTCAAGGGAGGCGTTTACGAAGTAAAAGTTGCCAAGATTACGACAATGACGGTCGACAACTTGGCCGGCCGGGTAACCGATAAGCTTGCCTTCATATGAATGAAATATCTGAGTCACATCAGCTGTTATTGATGATGGGAAAAGGGCGTGTCGCGGCATTTCAAGTTTGCTCCGGGCTCCGGGACTTGGACAACGTGAAACACAGGAGATTACTTGGACCGCATCACCGTGGCGCATGGCGGAAATTTCTTGCATCGGTGCTGAGAAGCACGCAATTATTGAGTCTCAGGCTAAAATTCTGGTTTGTCCGAGTCATTTACCAACCCCCGCCACTCCAAATTACTCTGAAAAATTCGGTTTATTTACTTGGTCACATTTCGAATTCTCCCTACGCTACTACGTAATGCCCGCACAGCTGGTTTGGTGTTAAGCGGTCGTACTCCGCGTCTGGCTACATAAAAGATAGCAACAAAGTAGTACCCCTCTTTCACCTCTATTATACGTACTATTGCTGTAGAATGTATTAATTTAGGGTGTTTTTTACTCATAAAACACATTTTTAAATAAGTAAGGAAAGTTTTCATGGTTACTTTAGGTTGTTTTGAGTGGGTGCAAAGAGTTATTTTTCATTGACCTGTCTGCGCGGATGAATACGGCGTGTGTGTCTGCGAAACACTTGGGGCTGGCTCCTTTCCCGCCAATCAAAGCATAACATACACACAGTGAGTTGCAGTGCGTTCTTGATTGTGGTTCGGTCTCGGGCCGTTTTGTTGTTTTTTTTTTATTTATTGTTTTTAGTGCCGTGATAATGTTTCCGTTGTGATACCAGTGTTTTGTTTGCTGTTTTTGTGTCTCCTTTTTCCGGGAAATCCTTCTAGATGTGAAATAATGTCCACGCTAAGTCGAAGTGAATCGAAACTGCAGTTTGATGATCTCCAACCTTACGACCAAGAGGATAACATCGGTGGATATTGCAGGTATTTTTCTTGATATTTTGCGCATTCCTCTTTGGTAGGCCTTCCTTGTTTGTCTATCCTCGTTCAAGCATGGATTCCGGAGAGTTCTTTAGCGGTATCGAAGCCGAGCACTTTAAATTGTCCCCTTCTCCGTCGGAATTTTCTTCCTGCGTCGTGGTCGACGTCGACGAGCACCTAACGAAATTGTCTGGACGTGGCCTCCGCGTCCGTCGCCGGTACGTCAGCTGTTCACATTCACGCCATATTCAAAGCCCTCTGCCAATTTGATCAGCTTTTTCGATATGTAGTCGCCTCAAAGCCCATTTTCAGCTGCTTTGCCCGTTTTGTTTCAGCTGATTCATTCCCCCTCACCAACCATTACTCAATCTGCTCACATGTTTTGAAATCCAAAACCCATACCGTCACCCATTTTTAGGGCCCCACTTTTGCTCCCACCAGCTCCTAGTTTTCGTTTTGGAATATTTTACTTTTCTCCTGGATAACTGATTTGTTCAACCACCTCAACGATGAAATAGGTGAATCGTTTATTTTGTGCTTGATGTTTACGTCAATCAGTACTTTAATCAGTCGGTAAAATGGTTACTTAAAGCGGTTAAGCGTCATTTATGGGGTTACATTTAGCAGTTTTTACATTGGGTTTAGCATGTTTAGTCCAAATATCATTTGGTGTGGATTAGCGAGCCATGTTATTTTGCTGCCTGTACTGTACTGGTACAGCGGCAGATGTTAGTTAACCCCTAGCCCCAGAAGCTTCCACCATAATATAATTTTGTCATTGTTTGCTCTCATAGTCAAATAGGTTATGTTTGATGCCACAGTTTTCTCAAGTTAGTTTAATTCTGCAGCTTAATTAGTCGTACTTGTCTTTAAAGTGCTCCAAAGTTTCGAAATAGGAACCTGTATGTTCTCTCGGACAGAATTCAATCTTAGCACCCTAAACTGGGAATTTAGTATTTACTTCAGTGATTTAAACAACTAAATTTCTCGTAGGAGCTAGGTTCAAGCTTTGGGTTCAAGTTAGCATTCAGGACAGAGGTCTACTTTTTCTGTAAGTTTGAAGCAAGTATAGGTCCCTGTATCTTAACAGTAATTTAAATATGAGAAAGCATTGTTAGCACTTTCAGGATCATCATTAAATTCATTCAATTTCATAGCTCACCAGCTGTTATTGCTCCTTCCTTTTGAAAAGAATCTGTTTTAATGCAACAGTTCCTCATGCCTCCATTGTCCTATTCAATGGTGTATTTGTTGAAAGCACCCTTCCTCTCTTTGCTCTCTAGTGTAAGTAGTAAACCAAGTAGACAACAGCATATAGCGCGAAAGAAAATCTCCATTCCAAACATTAACTAAATTATAGTTCTAGCATTGTTCAGTCATGCTTCCATAGCCAAATATTTTTCTCGTTTATAGGTTAAGTTATCACCTCCTCTTCCTTCTTTTCATATTAGTCTTAAATGAGCAACTGCAGATTTAACTGATATTTCTGGAGCAGAACTAAATATTTTACAGAGTACTTGCTCAAGATGCAAGGGATTTTGATGTTTCCAAGCCCAAGTCTATACATTAAAAACAGTCCGTATGGCTTGCATTCCCATAATTTGCTCTATTGTCCACTTTCACTTGTAGGCTTCGTATATATCTCAAGTTATGTCATTATCCCCTACTTTTCCGTTGAAGCATGATTTGCAAAGTAGAGGAGAAAGTTTGTAAGGACCCTAATCATTCTTTCAGTTTGTTTGGTTGGAATGGATACAGTGTTTACTTTTTGGCAGATGAGGGTTTAGCTAACCTCCAATGACCTCTATCAGTCTCATTATGTTCTGGTCACCACAGGATTAATATCCTTGTAATATGTCTTGACTGTTAATTCTATTTTATATTTTGGACAAAATGTATAAACCATCAGTCTCTGTCTCATAGCGTATTTTTTTGCTGAATTCAGGAAGTGAGGTTATGTCGTACTACTGAGCCACTCGTAGTTCTAGAGGTCTAGTTTTCCGTCCCTACAAAAGTCTGTCCTTGATCATTTTGCCTGTATGCAAGGGTTAAAATAAACATCTGATGTGGGAGAGGTTTATTTTCAGATCCTCTCTGTCAGTTGAAGTTTGTAGGTTGATAATAATGGGAATATTTGCGATGGGATGGACCAATATTGTCGCATTTTAAGACTCTAGTAAAAGAGTGATATGTTCTTTTTTATGTGCGTTCTGTTATGGTCAAATCACTCCAAGTAGAGTTTATTAGATAGCACTTAGCCCTCTTTGTCTTTGTTAAATTCTCCACCAAGTTTCCAATAATTTCCCTGACTCCGAACCTGGTGGCTTGAATTGATATTAGGCGGAATCCTACTGCTTGAACTTTGCCTCTCACAGTTCATAATTTTTGAACTTGTGCCATAGCTTATACTTTGTTTTCTCAGCTTTTATTCACTTCTTTTATAGTTAATTCAACCGAAGTATTGGCTTTTTATGATTGATTTACGAACTGCACGTTAGCATTACTTACCTTGGTGGAAGAGATATTGAAAATACTTTAATTCTAACTTTGAAAAGTATTTTCAATTGAACTGCTCTTTCTTGCCATCACCATGTTGGACAATTCGATACTGCATGGTGATGCTCGGCTCTCAGGTATATTTTCACACCTAGAGAGAAACTTTTCAGTGCAGACATTCAGAATTTGTGCTATTCTAGTCTGAATGGAACTGCAAATCACTCACTTATTTGGCAAGTTTTGCGTATTTAACTACAGCAAAAATGCTTAAATGAATTGGCCTCTCATGTTGTTGATTGGTAGAATCTTCTTCCTCTTTTGTTTTGACGTAATTATCCTCATTAGTAGTAGAAGTTCTAGCACTATATCTAGTTAATCCACAAATGATCTTGTCACGCTTGCCTAGGAAGATTTGCTTTATCCACAAATAAAGAATGTCAGATCGAACATCTGATGTAACCCCATCACTGAATGAGAACACATAACGCATATTAGTTCAATCATTTTTAGCTTTTTAATGGAACCATGTTTTGAATCTAAAATAACATGAAAATATCGTTACTGAATTTGTGCAGAAGGTATCACCCTTCAAGTGTGAGTGCTCAAACTCTGCCTCAGGTTGTCATAATTGTTGAGAATCTAACCCTACCTAAATCTAGATGAAAATTCTCGAACATGTAGTTAGGGACATCCTGCTATTGAAAAAATTCGCGAGCTATTTTTGAAACCAGTGACGATTGAAGTCAAGTTTCTAAACCTCAGAGCTGATGAGCAGGAGAAGTTAATTTTTTTTTGTCACAGACCTTATGCTTGATAGCATCTCAGCATGTCGGGAAGTCTCTCTCAGAAAGTAGCAACGAACGATTCGCAGAAATGATTCGTCTCGTATTGCCGACGGCCGCGTGCTATTAAAAATTGACATTTCCGTTTATTTCCGTCAATTAGTAATCACAGAATGGCAACATCCATTCGTGCGATAAATCTGCGCATCAGCAGTTCCTTTTCGCCTCTTCTTTCGGGCCAATTGACAGTCTGATGATCTGCATGATGTCACTCACAGCGATCGGTATTACTCGCGGTGCTCCTAGGAAAATTAATCCGTCGGAGAAGGACTGGAAACTCACGGATTTTTCCGGGAAGTTCTGTCCCAGAAATCTTGTAAAATCTGGGTAAATGCTGCCATGCTGAGGAAAAACTCCGTATGAACCTCCAGGCGTCGCCAGATTTCCTCTGACGAGATACGAATTCATTGGGGAAATAGTAAATATTTTTCTTCCAATTTTTCAGACTATTTTATGCGCAATTTAATCTAAAACATCTGAATGTCGAAGAAAAATATACATAGATTTCGTCAAAATACATGTTTTATCCGAGGAAATTTAGCAACTCTCAAATGTTCATACGGAGTTCTTCCTTGGCACGGCAGAGTGGCTAGTGACTCGAAAACATGGTGTCTACAGTCTGGAAAAACCGGGGTTAATCAAGGGATTGATTAAGATCCCTAGGATAATCTGGGTACTGTTGTTAAAAATCGTAAATTTCTTCTCTCGCCGCTCCTCGGCCCAATTATTTTTGAACAGTCAGGCAAAACATAAAGAAATTAATCCCCCCCCCCCTAATATTATTCAGAGAGTCTACAGGAGAAGGAGCGGAACTCCTGGGTTTCCATCTGGAAATTCCTCCGTGGAAATCAAGAAAAATCTGAGAATGATAGGAATCAGATGTAAAAATGATACATGTAGACGGTATTGTTCTTTAGACATCGCTATGCAACTTTGGAATAGATTGTATTCGATACATCAAACGGGTGGGATTGTATCTATATCGATTGGTTCAAAATATAAACATAGCCTTAAAAGTCAATTCAGAAATCTGAGGGAACGGGTCTTTTGTAACAGATTTTGTATTCCTTTGAGTACAAAATGCCAATGCAAAGTGAAATTGTTAGGAATTTTCTCATTTTCAGCTTTTCCAACTTAAATCCTATTAGTTTGGTTTGAGGTTATGTTCTATTTTTTTTAACCAAACGATACCTCGAACCATTATCGAATACGGGCTATGGAGTTCGTATCGGAAAATACAAATCGCGGATCGGAAATCCTGAAATTGGTCGCGTTCCCTCGTGGAGGTAATGATGATGCATAGTTGCCGGATACTCGCGAAAAATCAGGACTTGCCCATTCAAACCCGTGTAAATGATCCAGCTTTGTATGGCACAACCTGGCAAGCCCGCGAGGATGTGTGGCTCCTCGGCGTGGCGCCGCGACGCGCGACGGTGGCTCGCGGAGCTTTTCAAGCTTTTCTCGGAAGCGCGGATCGGGGAACGGCGGTGGGGCCACCGGGGGGCCTTCTGCGTCGCGGTTTTCTTTGGGGGATTCTTGGAATCGGCCTCGGCGGCGGTCCCCCGTGCCGTGTGTGTTCGGGTCCCGATCGGATTCGGAGGTCTGTAACCCCGGCGCCCGACGCCCCGGCCGCTCCACGCACTAATTACCATGAGAAGTGGCGTC